ATGGCAGAAACGAGGACCTCCATTAGCAGGAGAAGGAGCTTGGTGGCTTCGGAGCCTTGGCCTGCATGGGAAACACGTGTTTCAGAGTTCAAGATCAGCCCAGACAACATAGTGAAGCCCCATCTCTGGAAAAAAAAAAATCTCTGGGTCTGGTGGCATGTGCCTGTGGTCCTAACGACTTGGGTGATTGAGGTAGGAAGATGGCTTGAGCCCAGGAGTTGGAGGATGAGGTGAGCCTTGATGGTGCCACTGCACTCCAGCCTGGACAACAGAGCAAGACCCTCTCTCAAAAAAAAAAAAAAAAAAAAGTGACCAGAGTGCCACCATCAGCGAATGCATGCCCCACTCCCCACCCCCGTTCCACACATGAAGGAGAGAAACTCTCATCTGGTGGAATATTCAAGTTGCTATTGCTACACATGACTCCAAAATGTAGTGGCTGGAAACAAAAACCATTTTATTAGGCCTCACAGATTCTGCAGGTCAGGATTTGGGCTGGGCTAGTCTTTCATTCCATGTGGTGTTAACTGGGCTTATGGGTAGTGTTCAGCTGTCACTTGGATTGGTCTGGAGGGTCCAGGATGGTCACACACTCATGCCTGGTGCCTTGGGGCTGCCTACAGCGCTGCTTGCAGCCTCCCCAGCAAGGTGGTCTCTGGTGGGCTGCTTGACCAGGACTGGCCAGCACCTGGGAGTGACTGGGAGAAGGTGAGTGAGAGTCTTTCTAGTCTTCCACTGTCCCACTGGGGAAGCATATAATGCAGTCCACAAGAGAACACCTAGAACCTTCCATGCCCTGAATGTAACATGGAGTGGCTGGGAGACTATGAAAAGGAACTGCTTCAGGGTAGTACCATACCCTGGGTCCCACACCCTTCCTGAGACTTAAGTGGCTACAGCTAGATGCCATTGTCTATCCTACCTCTTAACAGACTGTGCATGGCCCTGGAGACCAGTGGTGCTAGTCCTAGGAACTAGGGAAACTTGGACTGCTGCTTCAGGGACCGGGGCATGAGTGTGGGTGGGCTCCTGCAGCCAGGACTGAGAAGCAGGCATGGTCATTGGTGTTGGGAGGGACATCACCCCCTGGAATTTGAGCAGGAAGCAAGTTGCCATGGGGGCTTGGTCTTGACCTGGGCAGAGAATCCTGTGGCCTAGGGCTGAGTTACAGGTTAAAGAAAACTGATAGAACTGATGGAACAGCTGGCGCTGGGGCATGAGAGGGATGTAAGCTCCCCACCTGCTGACCAAGATGGTAGCTGCTGGGGCCGTTATCTACCCTTCCTGTGGCAGAACCTCAGCACAGCAGTGGCTGGCCCTCACCCAAGCATTCTTCCAGGGGCCCGATGATTGCCCAACCCCTGCCTATCATGGCTGGTACATGTACTCACTATTATGGGACCTGAGTGCAAGCTCACTCAGTCTGGCTCCACCTAGCTTTGTGCTCGTGTCTGAGACAGAGTGTGGGATCCAGGTTCCTAGGGGTTGCACGGCACAACCCATCACCTGGAGCACACAAGCATTCCTCCCAGGGGACTGAGCTCGGGCATAAACACCCCTACTGTTACCACCTCAGTGGACTGCTGCCTGTAAGTGCCAGCCGCTGGCCTAGAGGCCAGCCTGCACAGCCCATTGCAACCATTGCCAACACAAGTGCACAGTGCTTCGGACCCAGAAGAGCATCTCAACACTGTTCCCACCATTGCTCACATCATGTCAGCTTCCCAGGGGCTCATGAGCCTGCTCACCTGCTGAGAATACCACTGCTACGTCTGCTATCTGAGAAAGCTACCTTGAAGCCCAGAAATTTACCTGTCTGGGACTACCAGTACAGGCTCCAGTGTACAACACCCTAGGCACAAGGATAGACATACCTAGCCCACCACCACCACCACCACCATAACCACTGAAACCTGAAGACAGGCCCAACTGGCACTCCAGCTCCCAGCATAACTTCCCCACAGCCTCCAATAACCACACCCTAACACACCAAGGAAATGAAAGATACCACTAACACTGCTTAGACAAAGAAATCAGAGACTTCACTGCTGCATGTACCCAGAAGAAAAACCAGGTTGGTTGGGCCATACCCAACCAACATCATAGTCACATCTTCAGGAAAAAGTCTTTCCCCAATAAAAGTGAATTCAAAAATAGGAAGAAGAGACTGCTGCACCAGATGTACAGAAGTCAATGTAATGTAAAGACACAGGAAATGTGAAAAAGCAAGATAATATAACAGTTAATTCTCCAGCAATAGATCATAACCGAAAAGAAATTCTCAAAATCACAGATAAAAAATTCAAAATGTTGATTTTTAAAGAACCTCTGTGAAATGCAAAAGGAATCTGAAAACCAATACAAAGAACCACCACCACCACAACAACAAAACCAATGAAGAAATGAGAAATTTGCCAATGAAATAGATACTTAAAGAAAAAAAAAAAAAAGCAAACAAATTTTGGCATGATGGAATTCACTGAAGGAAATACATTTAAAAGTTTCAACAACTTTTAAATTGTTGTTTTTGGAAGAAAGAATTTTGGAATATGAAGACAGGCGTTTTGAAACAATCCAGTCAGACAAAAAAAATACAGAAATAAAATTTAAAAATAAAGAAAAAAACAAAAACAAAAAGAAGAAACAATGAATTTTTAGAGATTTAGAGCAACCTAAGGTGACTGAGTTTATAAATTTTTGGTATCCCTGAGGGCTAAGAGAGATGAAAAGGTTTATAATATTTAATAAAATAATAAATGAAAAATTCCCAAGTCTAGCAAGAAATTTAGATATCCAAATATAAGGGGCTCAATATTTTCCAAAGAAATAAAATGCATAAAGGACTTTGCCACGGGAGATGACAATCAGACTGTTTAAAGTCAAAGTGAAAGAGAAAATTCTGAAAACATAAATAGAAAAGTAAAGTGTCTTGTCACCTATAAAGGAAAGCCTACCCGACTAACAGCAGACTTCTCAGCAGAATCATTATAAGACAAAGTCCTGAAAGAAAAAAAGGGCAGCTAAGAATTTTATAGCCACCAAACTTAACTTTCATAAATGAGGAACAAATGTCTTTCCCAGATAAAGAAATGCTAAGGAAATCCATCACTACTTGACTGGTCCTACAAGAAATGCTTAAAAGAGTCCTAACTTGGAAGCAAAAGGATTACATTAACCATTATGAAAACACGCGAAAGTATAAAACTCATAGGTAAAGTAATTACACAAAGGAGGAAGAGAAAGGAATCAAGTGATACCACTACAGAATTCCACCAAACCACAGTTACAGAAAAATAAAAATAAAAAAGCAATAATAAAACAACTAGAAAACAACAATATGGCAAGGACAAAACTTCAGATATTAATATTAGCCTTGAATGTAAACTAATTAAATGCTCCACTTAGAAGATACAGTTTGGTGGATTGCTGTCTACCATCCTAGGAGCAGGGGGGAAAAAAACCCTCATCTTTCCTGTTGGAAGTGAGCTCAAACTCCACAAAGGAGTTACCTGCCTTTTCTTGCCATGGAAGCAGGAAAAAACTTGCCTTCCTTGTGTTGGATGCAAGGACCCCTGTCCCCCTTCCCCCCCACACAAAAGGAGCTGTACAGCAAAATAAACTTTAGAGCTTGACCAAATCTGAGTAGATCAGGGATTCTCTGGAGGGATTGCTTCCATGCCTCAGCAAATTCTCCTATTTGTTTGAGCCATAAGGATAGCTCAAACTGGTACCAAAGACCGATAGGAGATTTGTCAAAGCCCTTTGGGGTTACCAAAATGTGAATAGTAGAATACCTCTACTCAGAAGCCCTTTGGGGTTACCAAAATGTGAATCTCAAATATCTGATACAGGTCTCGGTCCATTTAGGAAGTTTATTTTGCCAAAGTTAAGGATGCATGTCCATGAAACGGCCTCAAGAGGTCCTGAAGACATGTGCCCAAGGTGATCAGAGCACAGCTGGTTTTATACGTTTCAGGGAGACATGAGACATCAATCAAGATACGTACGATGAACATTGGTTTGGTCTGAAAGGTGGGACAACTCGAAGCAAAAGAGGGATAACTTGAAGCGGGAGGCGGCTTCCGGTTCACAGGTAAGTAAGGGACGTTTGCATTCCCGAGTTTCGGGTTGGCCTCTCCACGGGAGGTAATCAGCTATGCACTTACCTGAGCAGAAAGATGACGCTGAATAGAATGGGAGGCAGGTTTGCCCTAAGCGGTTCTCAGCTTGACTTCCCCCTTTGGCTTAATGATGTGGGAGCCCCAAGATTTATTTTCCTTCTACATTTTCTATCAGACCTACGGTCTGCCTTGATGCTAACGCCGGAGGAGTATAGTAAGGCTGTCCAACCCCTCCTTCTCCTCAAGGCCGGAACAGTCCCTCAGGTTGAATTTCAGGGTGTCCTGGTCAAGGAGGGAGTCCGGTCAGATGGCTGCAGGGGGCCCTTCGAATTTATGTCTGTTTTACAGGCATCAGTGCCGCCCATTTCTCATGAACCCCACACTTCCTCTCAGCAAAACAGAAACGTTATCATTCTGCTTCCATTTGTCCAGAAGAAAGGCAGAGGGCGCACACTGTGCAGCGCGGATGGGAAAGTTAATTGAATTATTTGAGAGAAAACAGGAAGACGTGCGCGGGCGCGTCCTCCACGGAAGCCTCAGCCATTTTGTGGCTCGTAGGGGTTCTGTTTCCCAGGCCGTGAAGTGCCCAGCTCCGCCCCCCGCCCTAGGTCGGACTCCTGCCCACGCCCTGCACCCCGGGTCGGACCCCAAGCCGAGAGACGCGGCTGGGCGGTTGGGGACAAGCTCTACACATGGGGGCGCTCGGCCTCGGGTTGGCACGACCGCAGAGGCGCAGACATGCAGTGCGCCTGCGTAGGACGCTGTCCTAGCTACAGATGGTCTGTGCGCAGTGCGCCTGCGCGAGCCGAGGGCGGTGGCCCGGCTTCCCAAGAGGGCGGGGCGTCTGGGGACGACGCCTGCGCGGGGGCGCCTGGCTGTGGGCTGGGCCTTCTCGGCTGACGGCCTGCGCGCACTGCGCTTGCGCGGGTTGAGGGCGGTGGCTCAGGCTCCTGGAAGGGACCATCCGCCCCTCGGCACTGGCAGTGTGAACGCGCAACTCAGCGGAGAAACGCGGCTGAGGTAGGTTTCCTGATGGGCAGCTCAGGCGGCTGGACTGCACGTAAGGCAAGACAGGCCAGGTGAGGCGTCCTCGCACTCCCTGTACGCCGCTGGCAGACTTAGGCCTCCGCCCCCCTTTGGGACCTCCGATCGCCCTCGCGTTGTGTGCTTCCTGTCCTGGCGTCCAAACGGGAGCTCGGCCCTCGCCACACCCTTCCCAGTGCGCCGCGCCCCCTCCCGGCCACGCCCACCACCCAGCGCCGGCTCCGGCCACACCCTCCGCGGTCACGCCCACCTCACCACCAGCCCTGCCACGCCCTTCGCGGTTACGCCCCACGGGCTAGGCGATCTCTGTCCTGAAGCTCTAGGCGCGCTCGCAGCCTGACCCTGTTGTGCTCCTGCGTCCACGCGCGGCCCCCTCGCTTCTTGCCCGCTTCTTGCCCCGTTCTCACCCGCCTTCATTGGCCACCTGTTCCCACTCCCCATGAGCCTGTTCCTCCCAAGGGCATCTTAGGTGGGCCCGGATCCTGCGCGCACCCCAGCACCCACTCCAACCCATCCCAATTTGGACGCCGGTTTTCCAATGAAAATATAATTCTGTAAATCAGTATTTGTAACTATGAACATCACAAAAATGAGCATCAAGTCTGAATTTAGAAGTGAAGCTTGCATTTTAAACAAAGAATTGCCATGCGATTGCAAAAGCACATTCGTCCCAGAGCGGAGTGTGGGTTACACTGTTACTGGAAAAATAAAAATTGAGAAGGAAAAGACCGGAAGATGCACACCTTCGTTCCTGTTAGTGGAAACACCAAAGTCCCAGGTAGGGACTTTCAATTGGAATTAAAGCTGTCACATTTCTAAGAAAAGAATGAATACTGATTTATATTGCTTTAAGTCGACATTTGATCTGACAGAAACTAACAGGCTTCAGCGAATGAGTAAGATTAACACCTTGTGGACTAGTGAAGAAAACACGCACTGTTTGAAGTTTATGATTTTTAAATGCTTTTGTCTTTGTGAAGAATTGTGATTATAATTTTCACTTCTATACCATTCTTCGCACATACACATTTTATTTCTATTTGGTAGAGGACCTTTGTCATGGACCTTAGAAGTTAAGTGAACTTAATTATTAACGTGGCAAGTACTTTGTGTCTCCTTCTCTTTTTAAAAGTAGAAATGGAGAAGAAAATGAAATAAAGCAGGAGTTATGAGGCAGAGCCCAAGAGAACTATGGCAACATCAGGTGACTGTCCCAGAAGTGAATCACAGGTAATTTCGGTTCCAGTTCCTAAAAATCTGTGTTTAATGAATGGGAACATTACAGAGAGTTAAGTGTCACCTCACAGATGTGATGGAACTTGACTTGTGCCTTGGAAGGTGGCCACACAGTAGAATGCTTAAATGTGAAGATTGTGAGGCAGAGGAGACGCGGTGTCTGTAGGATGACATCCTGCACTGGGCACCATCAACCCTTCCAAAGAAATAGCCCCAAAACATCAGCATCATTTAGGCTTCCATTTTTGGTACGTGAACTGGCAAAGCAAGCATATTTTCTGAGCTGTTCAATAAAATTTCATGCGTAATACCAGCAATATATCGAGGGCCAGTTGGATACATTAGAAAAGATCCATGTATTCATACTGTTTCTGCCAGGGTTACTCATGTAGTTTTGTTCAAGTTAGCAGTAAAAAAGCCTCAAATTTTAAGAAATGTTGATTATATAAAAGTTACCAACTGAATAATAAATATCGTTTTAAAAATTAAGCATTTTCATGTCTGTTACGTCAACTTTAATGTTTTCTTTTTTTTCCTCTTTCATTCCAATGATCTACTTTCATTTGGGTTTTTTCAGGAATTTTATTTCAAGTTAGCATCTTTCTTAATTTGTTTCTTTAATTATTCATAAAATGTTTTAATTTCATGGACATCTTATTTTCCTTCTGAGAAATTTAACAAATATTAGGATATTTCCAGGATGATATGGTAAACAAGTACATTAAGCAATATACATTAAGCTCTCTCTCTATATATGAAGTAAAAATACTCTCGGGTATATTTCAGTCTGTAGTTCAGCTACTCAGGAGGCTGAAGCGGGAGGATCACTTGGGGCCAGAAGTTTGAGGGTGTAGTGTGTTATGATTGTGCCTGTCAGCAGCCACTGCACTCCAGCCTGGCCAGTAAAGTGAGACTTCATCTTTTAAAAAACAAAAAGCAACAAGTTTGTTTCCCAATCTCAGCCCTGTTTCTTCTCTTATCTCTCTAGAGGCAAACACAACTGTGAGTCGTGAATCTGTTGTGTGCCGCTGCACTGTTTTTTATCTCTAGGGGCAAACACAGCTGTGAGTCGTGAATCTGTTGTGTGCCGCTGCACTGTTTTTTATCTCTCTAGGGGCAAACACAGCTGTGAGTCGTGAATCTGTTGTGTGCCGCTGCACTGCTTTCATACCTTTATGCCTTATGCAGATATCCTTGATCGATATATGATATTGTCTGTGTGTGCTTTTTAGAGTTTCCATAATGGTGTCATACTCTTAAGTGTCACCTGTGGCTTGCCTCTTCACTTAACTTTACCTTTGGGGAATTTGTCCTTGTTGATATGTGTGTACTGCTGGTTCAGTCCTGCCACTGTGGGGTATTCCTGTCGTATGGTCCTTCTCTGAAAGTAGGAAGTACCCTATTTGTACATATGTGTATGGGCCTGTTGCAGTCTCGCTGCTGTACGGTAGGCATATACCCCATTTTACTTATTGCCCTTTCGCTGGACACTTGTTTCTAGTTTTCTCTGTTTCAAACAGTGCTGTAGTGACCATCCTTCTCTATGCCTCTGTTCTCCAGTAATGACATTGCAGGGTGGAAGGGATTGCAAGTTCAGTTTCACTGGATAGTGATCACTTATTCCCCAAAATGACTTAACCGGTTCACAGGTCTGTCGGTAACCCACAATAGTGCTTGCTAATGCTTGACAGCATCAGACTTTTAAGTTTTGGTCAGTCTCCTGGGTTAGAAATGTATCTTGTTATTTTAATTTTGCTGACTACTTGTGGGTCATGGTGGTATTTCAGTAATACTTGTGTTCAACCTGTTAATTCCACCCTTCATTATAGAAGAGATGTCTGATAATGGTAACTTGTGTTCTCTTTTTTCCCCTTTGATGAGTCTTTTTTAGGATTTTATCAATTTGATAAAGAACCAATTTTATCTGTGTTGATTTCTCTATTTTTCTATTTCATTGATTTCTGCTTTTGTCTTTATTTCATTCTGTTCTTTTTTTTTAAATTTTTTATTGCATTTTAGGTTTTGGGGTACATGTGCAGAACATGCAAGACAGTTGCATAGGTACACATATTTCATTCTGTTTTATTTGGCTTAATTTTTGTAGCATCTGAGAGGGAAGCTAATTGATATTAAACCAGCCTTTAAAGCTGTGACTTTCCTTTAGTCACTGCTGTAACTGTACCTCACATATTTAATGCATTCTATTTTCAAAGCATTTTCTAATATATTCATTGGAAATTAGAAATTTTCTGGACTATTTGAAAGTCTGTTGACTAATTTATACACATTTTGGAAATGTTACTTTTTCGTATTTAATTTTGCTTTGAAATTATAGAGGATGTTATGTTCTCTAGCCAATGTAATCAGTCTTTTGAACTTTATTCAGGGCTGCTTTGTATTCTAATCACATGGAATTTTTTGGCAAATGTTCCATGAGTACTTGCGAAGAGTGTGTATTCCGCAGCTGTTGAGTGTAGTATTCTATAAATGCCATTAAGGTCAAATGGGTTATTAGTATTGTTCAAATCTGGATTGTTCAAATTGTTCAAAAACTGGATACGATATCTTTTCTGAGCTTTTTGCCCTCTTCTCTCAGTTACTAAAATTTCTCCACTATGTTGTAGATATTTCTATTTTCCATTTGGTTCTATCACTTTTTTCCTTGTATATTTTGAGTCTCTGTATATATTGCATGTATATGTTTAGTATAGGTTTTGTTTTCTAGATTAATTGGCCTTATTTTTACAAAATTTGTCTTTTTGCCAGTTAATAAATACTTCTTGTTTTGCAGGTACCTTTTTTAATGTTAATATAGCTGTACCATCTTTTTTTTAATCATTAGTGCTTACATAGAGAGTGTGTATGTGTGTGTATATGTATACGTGTCTGTGTATATATATTTTTCCTCAACGTAAGTCCTTATATTTAAAGTGTTTCTCTTATAAAGAGCTAGTTGAGTCTAGCTCTTGAGTCTTTTTTTTTTGTCGCTCTGTTAAACAAAATTTCTGCCTCTTAATTGGAATATTTAGTCTATTAATATTTAGTGTAATCACTAATATGATTAAGTGTAACATCTTGCTGTTTGTTTTATATTTGTCACATTTCTTTTTTGTACACGTCTCCATTTCTGCCCTCTTGTGGATGAATAAAGTATTTTCTGTAATCCCCATTACCTTCTCTATTAGCTTGTTAGCTGTACCTTTTTATATTGTTTTCCCAAGAAATTGCAATATGCATTCTAACTCAATTTCACTCTTTTTTTAACCACTTCATGATGTAAAGACCTTACAAGTTAGTTTCATTTACCAGCACCTGTATTTTTGTTTTGTTGTCATAACATTTTAATTTTACATGTGTTGTAAACCCCACAATAAATTATCGTTGTTGCTTTATGCTATCAAGAGTCTTTTTTAGTAAAGAGAAATAGTCTTTTATGTTTCCCCACATATTATTTGCCTTTTTTGAGGTCTTTCCCATTTTTCTGCATTCTGTGTTTTCGTGTAGGATGATTTTCCTTTAACCTGAACAAGTTTATTATTACATTTATTAGTGTGAATCTCCTGTGTCAAACTATGAAATGTGTTTTGCCTACATTTTTGAAGACTGTTTAGCCTGATATGGGATTTTAGGTTTGCAGTTTTAACACTTCATAAAGGTACCATTTTACTGTCTTCTGGCTTCTGTTTCTGATGAGAATTCATCGGTATTTTGCTGTTGTTCTGTTAAATGTAATGTATTCCTTTTTCACATTGGTCACATTTAAGATTTTTCTCATTTTGGGGGTTTTTAGCAGTTCTCTTCTTGTTTTTCCTGCTTAGGGTTAGTTGAGCTTCTTGGATCTGTGGTATTTTTTTTAATTTGGTGACCAAGTCTCACTCTGTCACCCAAGCTGGAGTGCGGTGGTGCAGTCTCCACACACTGCAACTTCCACCTCCTGGGTTCAAGCAGTTCTCCTGCCTCAGCCTCCCAAGTAGCTGGGATGACAGGCACAAGTCAACATGCCCAGCTAATTTTTTGTATTTTTAGTAGAGATGGGTTTTGTCATGTTGGCCAGGCTGGTCTTGAACTCCTGACCTCAGGTGATCTGCCTACCTTGGTCTTGATGATTTCTTTTTAATTTTAATTTTGGGAAAATCTCCACCATTATCTCTTCATTTATTTTTTCTGTCTCTTCTCTTGATGTGTCTCATGGTGTATTCTTATTTTTTTCATTCTTTTTTCTTTTTGTGCTTCAGTTTGGAAAATTTATGTTGACCTAACTCGTGAGGTTGCTGATCCTAAACAAATTAACTTGGACAACAATACGTTTGTGAAAACATTTCTTGAGACGTCAAATAGGATCTATGTTATACAGAGTTCTTTTGATCTGTTAAGTAGAAGACAAATAGCCAGGTAGAATCACGGGCAAAATAAAGATACAGTTTACAGGAGAGCAGATGCATGCAGCCAAAAAACATGAAAGTTATTGATAATAAATAACTGTGAGATACACTTTATAGCTATGACTGCGGTAAAAATTAAAGACAGTGGTAATGCCTGTCGCTGCTAAGTGTTCGGTGCTGTTGAAGCATGAAGTGTTACATGCTTGATGAAAATAATCCTTCATGTTTGAATTTAAAACACCCTGGCTGGATGCAGTGGTTCATGTCTGTAATCACAGCACTTTGGGAGGCTGCTGGGTGGGAGGATCACTTAAGCCCAGGAGTTTCAGTGAGCAATGTCGTGAGACCTCATCTCCACAAGAAGTTTAAAAATTAGCTGGGTGCGGTGGTGTGTGCCTGTAGTTCCAGCTATTTGAGAGGCTGAGGTAGGAGGATTGCTTTAGCTTGGGAGGTAGAGGTTGCCATGAGCCAGGATCGTGCCACTGCACTCCAGCCTCGGCGACAGAGGGCGACCTCATCTCAAAACAAAACAAAACAACAACAGCAGCAAAAAACCGTATTCTTTAACCCTGGCAGTCCAGTCTATCCCACAGAAATAAAATGTCACCACATAAGCTTGTCTGTGCACAGACTTCTCGTGTTGCTATGGTGGCAGAAAGCTGGATACGAAGACAAAGCCCATCAGCAGAGGATGGCTGAGGAATCACGGGAATTCCCTCTGTGGAATAGTGTGTAGCCATTGAAAATAGTGAATCAGGGTTCTAACAGTTGGAACGTTTCCGGAAGGTATCGTGTGAGTAAGAAAAACAAAGTGCAGGTTGGGTGCCGTGGCTTACGCCCGTAATCCCAGCACTTCGGGAGGCGGAGGTGGGCAGATCACTTGAGGTCAGGAGTTTGAGACCAGCCAGGCCAACATGGTGAAACCCCATTTCTACCAAAAAAATACAAACGTTAGCTGGGCCTTGTGACACACGCCTGTAGTCCCAGCTACTCAGGAGGTTGAGGCATGAGAATTGCTTGAACCAGGGAGGTGGAGGTTGCAGTGAGCTGAGATTGCATCACTGCACTCCAGCCTGGGTGACAGAGACTTCTCAAAAACAAGAAAAAAAAAGCCAAGTGCAAAGAAGGGGCCTGGGGAGTGTACACGGGGGTTTGTGTGTGACACGGGCACGGAGGAGGCATGGAAGGCCGCACAGCAGGGGTTAGTGAGGGTGGATCTGGAATGGGTGGAGAGTGAGCAAAAGGCAGTGCTGCCTTAGAGTGAGTCATGCTCCTAGTACAGGGAAACGCACAGAGGGTACAAACAAGCAGTTAGCAAGGTAAAAAGAGATGCCAGCAAGTATTTTAAAGACGTCTAACCGCACAAAGAGGCAAATGGAAGTAGCAAAAGTGATTGGTATCTATAGAGAGTGTGGGAAGATTGGCGGTTCCCTCTCACAGCAAGCAGTCTAAGGAACACCTCTGTGGAGGGCATTGGGCGGTAAAACCAAAAGCTGTAGAGTACACATAGTCTCGGTTTGTCAAGTTCACATTCAGAAACTCACCCTAAGAAGATTAAGGTACATGCAGAATGATTTATGTTGAAGGAAGTTTGTCTTAACATAATTTAGAATAGTAACAACTGAAAAGTCTGAATGTACAAGACTAGGAAATTGGAGAGGTTAGTCGTGACAATTCATAGACTAGAATACTATGCAGATATTATGTAGTGTTAGAAGAATATTTAATAACCAAGAAAAATGTTCCGTTTATAAGTGAGAAACAGGCCACAGGATTGTGTGAACCCAGTAAGTGCTTTGTATACATGTTATGTGTCCACTTTTTAAAAAGTCTGAAGGTATAAACAACGTGCTGCCTGTCGTTATCTGTGATCAGTGAGTGAAGTTACAGGAATTTTCTTCTGTGGGCTTTGGTGTTCTCACACATTTTCTAGAGTAAACATGAATTACTTTTATGTTTAGGAAAATGTGTTTGAAATGTGTATATTGAGACAGGGTTGATTCATTGAACTGGAATGTGTGATTTGAGGTTTTGCCCCCTACAGTGACGTCTTCCAGGCAAGTTTATTCTTATATAAAGTGAGCAGCTGGGCATGGTGGCTCATGCCTATAGTCCTGGCACTTTGGGAGGCTGAGGTAGGTGGATTGCCTGAGCTTAGGATTTCGAGGGCAACATGGTGAAACCCCATCTCTACCAAAAGTACAGAAAATTAGCTGGGTGTGGTGGTGCACACCTGTAGTCCCAGCTACTTGGGAGACCGGGGCATCAGAATCATTTGAACCTGGGAGATGGCGGAGGTTGCAGTGAGCCAAGATCATGCCACTGCACTCCAACCTGGGCAATACAGTGAGACTCTGTCTCAAAAAAAAAAAAAAAAAAATGGATGTGGTAGGGGGAAGCTCCAAGGACCTGTGTGGGTCTGAGCTGGGGCTGCCCAGGCTCTGCTGCCTCATGGCAGTTGTGCCATGCCACCAGCTCTTTCCATAGGCCCTTGGCTGTGCCTCCCTAGGGCACTAGACCCCTGGCTCTGTCCTCACACTGGTTTCTCTTCCTGGAGTTGATGACCACCTTTAGGAAGCATTGCTGATGAAGGCCAAGGGTTCCTCATCAAATAGACACTAGCAGTGCCTGTTTCTGACTTCTGCCTTTGATGTTCTCTTTTGAAATGCAATTTTTTTTTTTTAAAGAAATGTAGAGTGAAGGTGACAGCCTTTGATTATAGAAATAAAGATGATCCATGTCGTTTGTATGATAAATTCTTGGACACATGAATCTATATTTGAAATTTAAACCATCCTAATAGCATAGCCAAAAAAAAAACTCCAGTGTCCTCCCCTTACCCTTTCCTTGGCTTTGAGCAGGAAGAAGAGCCTGCTGAGTACACTGAAGTGGGGCTTCTCCAGGAGGGAGTACAGCCGGAGGAGTTTGTGGCCATCGCAGACTACGCTGCCACCGATGAGACGCAGGTAGCCACGGGTGGTGGTCAGTGCTTCATGGCTTTCAGCATGTTCAGTGGCACAATGAGATACGTTTTGCAGAAGTCATACCAAAGTTAAATGAAGAAGTATTCAGATGCTTGGAGCCACGTAAGACCTGCGTGTGGGCTTTACCTCGCAGTCTGACCAGTTCTGCTCCAAGCATGATGTGAAGATGCCGGGTATAGAGTGGCGATCCTCAGCCGGGGCAGAAGCACTGTTCTGCTTTCTACTTGGAAACCCGCCCAGTTCATGAAAAGTGAAGCTGTCAAATATATCCAGCTGTATCTGCTTGGATGTAGCTTTACCTTGTGACAGGAATTTCATAGAGTAAGCCTCCAGTAACTCAGTTGGCATAGCTGAGTTACAGTGAAGAGGCTGTTGAGAAATTCTCTCCTAAGCAGTTTGAAAATGTTCACTCCTTCTTTTTTTTTGTTTGGAGATGGAGTTTCGCTCTTGTTGCCCAAGCTGGAGTACAATGGCACGGTCTTGGCTCACTGCAACCTCCACCTCCGGGGTTCAAGTATTCTCATGCCTCAGCCCCTGAAGTAGCTGGGATTATACGCGTGCGCTACCACGCCTGGATAATTTTGTATTTTTAGTAGAGACAGGGTTTCTCCATGTTGGTTAGACTGGTCTTGAACTCCTGACCTCAGCTGATCCACCTTACCTTGGCCTCCCAAAGTGCTGGGATTACAGGCATGAGCCACCGTGCCCAGCCCACTCCTTCTTTTAAAAAACATCAGTTAAGCTGTGCCCTTCTTTCAGGTAGATGTTCCACAGGCATCGCTGAGTCGTGGTGTCACTTGCATACATTCTCAGTTGCTGTCATTACCCACTGACTCCTGTTTGAAATCTCTGTGATTTTGTCACCATTGATGAGATTTATCACTGAGCCACACTTGAAATACTAATGACTGGTTTTCCTTTTGAATTTTAACCTTTTTTTTTTTCCAGCTCAGTTTTTTGAGAGGAGAAAAAATTCTTATCCTGAGACAGACCACTGCAGATTGGTGGTGGGGCGAGCGTGCGGGCTGCTGTGGGTACATTCCAGCAAACCATGTGGGGAAGCAAATGGATGAATATGACCCCGAGGACACGTGGCAGGATGAAGAGTACTTTGGCAGCTACGGAACACTGGTACTGCTCTCTAGGTTCCCTATGGCTGGCCGGGCGGTGGGTTCTCTAGCCTTAGTTCCGACTGTGTCGTTCCAAGCAGGCTCATAGTCTTGGAGGCCAGAGGGTCTCTGCTGCAGCCACTCAGCTCTGACATGGTTGTGCGGAACCCGAAAGTGTGTTCCAGTAAAACTTTATCTATGGACCCTCGAATTTGAATTCTATACAGTTTTCATGTGTCACAAATAATTCTTCTGATTTAAAAAAATCATTTAAAGATGTAAAAACCATCGTTAGTTTGGAGGCCATCGAAAAACAGGTGGTGGACTAGATTTGGCCCATGGTGTAGTTTCCCCGACCCTTGGCTTAGTGATAGGATTTGGGCAATGAGATGATGAGCATGCTTCCCAGTATCTAAGAAAAGTAGTAAATTTTACTTTAAAAATGAAATTAGGCTGGGTGTGGTGGCTGACACCTGTAATCCCAACACTGGGGGAGACTGAGGCAGGAGGATTGCTTGTGGCCAAGAGTTCGAGACCAGCCTGATAACATAGTGAAAAAAAATAAAAAATATAATTTGGCTCTACAACAAAATACATATATATAATTAGCTGGGCATGGTGGTGCATGTCTGTAGTCCCAGCTACTTGAGATGCTGAAGTGGGAGGATTGCTCAAGCCTTGGAAGTTGAGGCTGCAGTGAGCCAGGATGGTGCCACTGCACTTCAGCCTGGGCTACAGAGTGAGAGCCTGTCTCAAAAAAATTTTTTAAATTCTATAAATCTATGAACAATACTACTTCTAGTCAGGTGTGGCAGCTCATGCCTGTAATCACAGCACTTTGGGAAGCTGAGGTCAGAGCATCATTTGAAGCCAGGAGTTCAAGGCTGCAGTGAGCACCTGGTTGACTGAACCAGACTCTGCCCCTAAAAGAAAAATAAAAGCCCAACTTCTAAACAGTCAGCTTACTGAAATTTTTCCCCCACCATGGAGAAATGCCTTTAACCCCATGGTGCAGGCAGCAGTCTGGTTACATTTTAAAACTAGATGAAAACAGTTACTTGCAGGATGAATGTTATATTGTTAAGCAAAAGAAGGAATAGGACAAAGAATCTGTAACGTGTGACTCAATTATATAAAGTTAAGAGGCCACATTAGAAGGTGTTTTTGTTTTTTTTTAAGACCCAGTCTTGCCCTGTCACCCAGGCTGGAGGGCTGTGGTAGGATCTCAGTTCGCTGCAGCCTTTGCCTCCCAGGCTCAAGCAATTATCTTGCCTCAACCTCCTGAGTACCTGGGACTACAGGTGCGCGCCATGATGCCTGGCTAATTTTTGTTTTGTTAGTGGAGGGGGTTTCACCACGTTGGCCGGGCTGTTCTTGAACTGTCCTCGAGTGATCCTCCTGTCTCAGTCTCCCAAAATGCTGGGATTACAGGCGTGAACCATCGCGCCTGGCCAGAAGGCACTGCTTGTGAGTTTGCATGGGTGGTGAGACTGACTGAGGCCAGGAGTGGCTCCCCTGAGGGTGGAATGGAAATTGCCTGCTGGTGGTGGAGGCTCTGGGACCAGCGTGGCCGAGCAGGGAGGTCTGACATGCTGGCAGTGTTCGGGGATTGGATTAGAGGTTTTTGGTATATAACTATACTTGATAAACTGTGCAGATAGTTTCTAATGCACTTTTTTGTAGGTATACCATATTTCACAATTAAAAGTGTTAAATTGCTGCCTCTCAGCTCGAAGAACCACTGCCCACTAGATTCCTCTGTACTTATGAAAGTACATCTAATTTATTTCATTTTTTTAGTTTATAGAAAAGGCATCGTTCCACACACTCAGGTGTTCACCGTGCTCTTTTCACGTAGCTGTATGATTGTGAAGATCTCTCATATTGAACCTGCCATTCGTTGTTACAGCTGCAGAGCATTGTGTTACTTTAAAAGGATCATGTTGATATTTGGACAGTGGTTATTTAACAACTTTTTGTCATGATAAATAGTGCTATGATGGAGTCCTATGTAATCCTGTTAAATGTTTTTTAGAATTTCTATAGGGTAAATTCCTGGTGTGTGCGTTTGTGTGGTTGCCAATTCACCCTCCAGAAAGATTTGCTGGTTATCCAGTTAGTGCTGCAGTCACAGAATGCCTTAGACTGGGTAAATTATGAAGAACAGAGATTTATTTCTTGCAGTTCTGGAGGCTGGGAGGCACTGGCATTGGGGTCCAAGATGGCGCCACATGGCTGTCCTCACGTGAAGGAGGGAGGCTGGGAGCGCCCCTTCCACCTCAGGCCCTTTCATAGTACCTTCCAAAGCTGACCTCTTAATGCCATCACATTGGCAATTAAGTTTCAACACGTGGATTTTGGGGGACATTTCAGACCGTGGCACAGATCCACTGAGGGCATGTGAAAGCTCATTTCCCTACCACAAACCAAAAAGGACTTGGATCTTAAACATTAGATATGGTTTCTTTTAATTTGATTTCCATGAGTGAGACTGATCATCTTTTATGTGTTTATTGGCCTTTTGTATTTTTTCTCTTTCTGTAAACTTTCATATTATTTGTCCATTTCTTTTGATTTTTGTTGATTCATATGTTAAGTAATTTAGCCTGAATTTGTGAATTTTTGTGACTTTGTGAATTTTTTCCCCCACAGAACATTTTTCTTTGTATAGCCGAATAGGTTGTTCTTTCCTTTGTGAAAAACCTTTCCTCGCCGTAAGATTATAAATACCCACACCTTTTTTGATTCTGTGTTATTTTATTTTTACTTTTTATGTTTTTTAGGGATGGGGTCACTTTGTTAAGTCATAGCTTACTGTGGGTTCCTGGATTAGGGGATCCTGTCACCTCAGCTTCCCAAAGTGCGGGGATTATAGGGGTGAGGCACCCCACCTGGCCTTATCCTCTTTTAAACAATGAGATTTTAAATCAATCTTGAATTTATTTGTTATAAAAAATATAATGTAAAATTCCACCCTTATTTATGCCCACAAATATCCAGCCACCCCAGCCTCCGTTACTGGACGGTTCCTTCCCACTGATGTGAAATGCTGTGTTTGTGGTGCTCTGGATGTCAGGGGTCTGCTTGAGAATTCCTGTTGACTCACTGGTCTGTTTACTTCTCTGCGGCGCCCGGTGCTTCATCATTGCACCTTTGTAGGATCTGCAAGAGCTAGGTCTCCAGCAGTCCCCCCCGCACTTTTTTTAAAAAGCATTCTCCTCATTAGCCTTGGGCACTTCTTGTTTTGAAACTGTTTTTATTGTCATTTTGTTGTGCTTCCTCCTCCATGCAGATTGGCTGGCATTTTAGTAGGCACTGCATGGAATGTTGATGTTAATTTTGGGAGAAATGACGTGTCTATAACGTTGACTCTCAGTTTCCTGTTAGTTAAGCTTTGTTTAATATCTCTTAGCATTTTAAGGTTTGTCTCATACACGGTTGTGCACCTTTCTTGTTAAATCTATTCGTAGACATTTTTTATTATGACTGTTACAAGGGGTTGGGTGAAGTGTCAGGCCTTCCACAGTCTTACTGATTTTTCTATTTCTGTCAGTTACTGAGAGCGCAGTGTTGAAATCTCTGACGATAATTGTGAATTTGTCTGTTTCTTCTTGCATCTGTATTGGATTTGCTGTGTGTATTCTGAAGACCTGTTATTAGGTACAGAAGTATTTAGAATAATCACGTGCTCTGGGTGAATTGATTCTGTGTTGACGTGTTGCTCTGAACTGGGTTCTGTTGGTGCTGACGCAGCTGCTCCTGCTCTGTCTTCATGGGTGTTGGCACCATAGGCCTCTCCCATCCTTTGCTTCCGGGCAGGAGAATTGGGCCTTGCTTTGTGGTCTATGCCCCCCACCTCCTCCTGCCGGTCCCTTTGTTTTTTATTCTGCAGAGTCTTGGGAGGCTCCATGGTGAGCTCTGAGGACCTTGTGCAGGCTCCTGTCTGCTGGCTGTCCTCACTCTGAGGACCTTGTGCAGGCTCCTGGTCTGGGCGCTGTCCTCACTCTGCTCCCGCCTGCTACCTGTCTTCTTCCTGGTGATGCTGTTTCTAGGCTGGGCCTTCTGTAGCTTGAGAGTCTTGGTGGGAGGGGTGCAGCCTTACCTGCAGCCCATGGCTTTTCAGGCTGCCCTGAGCAAGCCTCTCTCTGCCTCCTTGCGGGATGGCTGATTCTCATGTGAGTATCCTTGGGTTTCAGGCATTTTTCTCCCTCAGGAAATGGCTGGGCCTCTCGCTTATCCCTCAGGACATGAGGGGCAAGTTCATGGACAGAGGACTTTGGGGGACCCCCTGCCCACCTGCGCTGGCGTTTCTCCCATGGCGTATCCGCAGTTTTCTCTAGTCAGACACCTGGCACTGGGGAGTCTGGTTGGGTTGCGGTGGTCCCTCCTGCCTCAGGTGGGCATGGGTGGTCCAGGCGACATTGCACCCCTATGTGCAGCGGTCCCTCTTGCCTCTCTGCTTGCCGGCCATGCTGTGCTGAGCTGAGGGACTCACAGGCCTGTATTTTTGCTCTTTTCAGATGGGGTGGCAGGGTCAAGCGTCATCAGCTGTGGCCCTGACCCTCATCTCAGTCAGGACTCGGCATGGCTCTGGGTCAAGGCAGTGATTCTGAATGTGCATTTCTCCCAGAAACTGCACTTGGAAATGTTGGCAGACCAGCCGCGCACAACTAAGTACCACAGTGTCATCCTGCAGAACAAGGAGTCCCTGACGGACAAGGTCATCCTGGACGTCGGCTGTGGCACTGGGATCATCAGTCTTTTCTGCGCACATTATGCACGGCCTAAAGTGGTGAGTGGGGTCTCCAGCTTGTCCCAGGTGTGCGTCAAGGCCGGTGATGTCCGACATGGCCTCTGAGATGCCGACTCGTGACCCTGTGCTGTTGGGGGCTCACTGGTGACTACGTCCTTGCACGTGGGGCTCAGGGTCGGTAAAACAGCAGTGTTGAGACTCCATGCTAGAGGCTGTGGCGCCGGCATAAAGAGCCACAAACAGCATGGACAGGAACAGGGCAGAATAGAAAATATCCCATGAATTGCATGGGGCAGGGTATGTTCTGTGAGACATTTATTTCAGTTGAGTAGAGAAACAGGTGCACCCACATGTCTGTGCTTGGCCTTGGCTGTGGACAGCCTCATGGGGATGTGATGAATCCACATGCTGGCCCCCTTCCTACCCTTCTTTGGCCATCTGTGCTGTGCTAGCTGAGCCAAACAGCAGCCTTGGAGGCTCCTGACATGGTGGGTGGGATCTCAGCACAGTGACCACCCAGGGCCATGCTCTGCAGGACCCAGCGCTTGGGCGCTTCCCACCAGACCCTTCCCTATGAACCTGGGTTTGAAACTGTCTCACAGGCCTCAGATGTGGCACAGACCAGCACTGTCACTTGGGTGCTCAGCACTCGCTGTGCCAGTCATGGATTAAGCTTGCTGTGTGTGTGGCAGCCAGCCCGGGCATTCGAGTCTTCAGGCCACCTGCAGCCCTGCGTCTGCGTCTTGTGTAGGAGGTAGGGGCAGTCGGGAGGGTTAGAGGTGGCACCTTTCTAGGTATCCCGGAGGGGCAGGTGTGGCCCAGCCCTCGCTGTCTCCGGCTGTCTGGAATGCTGCTTCCCTGTTGTGTTGTTGACCGTTTCTCATGGTGCTGGTGGTGTTGACTCAGGAGAGAGTGGATGACGGGCCCCATGCAGGCCGGGCATGCACTGATGGTGCTTCTGCTGCAGGTGTACGCGGTGGAGGCCAGCGAGATGGCACAGCACACGGGGCAGCTGGTCCTGCAGAATGGCTTCGCCGACATCATCACTGTGTTCCAGCAGAAGGTGGAGGATGTGGTGCTCCCTGAGAAGGTGGATGTGCTGGTGTCCGAGTGGATGGGGACCTGCCTGCTGGTGAGGGCGGGCGTGCGGGCAGCGGGGGGCCGGGGTTCGGGGGGCTTCTGAGCACAGGCTTGGCTGGGCCAACCTCAGGATCTCAAGAGTGACACGTGATTCATTTTGATTTTTTCCCCTAATGTGAGGTATGATTAATTTCTTGTGTGGACATTGGCTCAGTGTCTTGAATTTTCACCTGGTTTAAACAATGCCTTTATGAGAACTTTAAGTCAGAGTTTGTGTAACATTTTCAAGAGTGATTTACGTGAACTGCATCCTTGAGATTCTGTAAAAATCCCGTGCCTAACAGGTAAGGCTGTTCCTTTAATGCCAGCAGGGCCTTTGTCCCTGGCTGGTGTCTCCTCACCTTAGACGGGCCCCCGTGACGCTGTGAAGAAGCCACTTGGGCATCTATGGGCAGCATGTGCCTGGCCTGTCTGGCTGTTCACCCTGCATTGCACATGTGGGTGGAAGTGGACTGTGTTCTGGTTACTTGCCAATACGCCCACATAGACGCCGCCCACTTGGAGGGGAAGTGGCGGGGGTGCGGCCGGATGCTGTCTCCATGGCGTTCTCCTGGGCTCAGCGTCTTGGGTTACAAGACGTTGCAGTGGAGCGTCCCAACCTGAAACAACTTCTCCGTGTTGAGACCCAGAAAGACAGGCCTGGGTGCAGGAGTGTGGAGTATGGCTGATGCTTCCCCAGGAAATGGTTTCCCCTGGTAACCGATGGCATTGGGCCTTCAGTCCGGTTGAAATTTTGTGGTCAGAAGATGAAATGTAAATAGACTCAGTGTCCATGCTGTGACTCAGCTTATTAATAGGGTCTGTGGAGCCGTCAGGCTTCACTCCTGACCCCTGAGGGCTCTCGCCTTTGCCCCGGACACCAGTGCTCCTTCAGGACATGTCTGCTGGCAGCTGCTGCCCGGCCATGGGGACAGAAACAGGGCTAACGGGGGTGCATGTGGTGTAGCAGAGGGTGTGTGGGGGCACTGATGGGGGGAAGCCTGGCTGCTGGAGGGTCCGGCTGTGCCCTGGGCTGGGTGAGAGCCCGAAGGGGTAGCCGGAAGAGAGGAGTAGCCACAGTGTTCTCCATGTTGCTGTGTTCCAGAGCTGCCCAGAGGCCAGACTGGCCAGACTGTGTTGCATCAGGGAGGCAGAGGCCAGTTGTGGGGAACTGTATGTCTAAGGACTTTGTGCCACATCCTGGACACCGAGGGGGGTGCCAGTGGTGTACGAGTGATGGAGAAAGAGGTGGGCTGTGTTTGGGAGGCCCCTTGGTGTGTGTGGCTGGGACTGGCTGTGGTCCAGCCCCAGCATGCAGAGGCCTGGGACAGCCTGTGCGACGGGAGGCCCGTCTGTGTGTGAGGTGTACAGACTGCCACGGATGGACTGTGGGTTTACTGTCAAGACACAGGAGCCAGGGCCTGGCACGGGACAGGTGTGGAGATGCAGAGCAGGGCTGGCAGGCAGGATGTGCCGACGGGAGCCTGGTGTGATCAGGAGGATGGTGCCTCCCAGCCCTGAGCTGCAGGGAGTGAGCCACCAGGACCAGGTGGGGGCTGGGGTAGGGAAGGCTGTGGGGAGGATGGACATCTGTGTGGGTCTTGAACACAGGGTGCCCATCTGATGTGCAGGGCCAGCTGTGGATTGGGCGGGGGGACATGGCCTGGGGTCTCAGTGGGTGTTGGCCTGAAGGGCCCACCCTGAGCAGGACATCCTGGGGAGTGCTGGGGCAAGTTCAGACAGGACCATGTTTATCTCCAGTGCAGACAGTGGAGGGGGGAGGCAGAGCTTTGCAGGTGAGGGCTTGAGGAAGCTTCAGAGTTCAGACTTCAGACTCTCCTTGGGGGGCTTGAAGGAGATGCACCGTCATTACTCAGGCCAAGGAGGCGCAGAACAGGGCAATGGGGCTGCAAGAGCTCCTATGGCGATTATTGTTGGGATACAGGGTTGGCGAGGCTTTGAGGGAGGGAGGTTGTGAGTTTGGGAGTCGCTGGTGCAGCTGCACCCACCTTTGCTTTTCATCCCCAGGCTGCCCCTCTCCTGAGCTGCTGCATCCTCCCCTGCAACTGTGTGTCTGGCCCTCTTCATGTCCTCCTTGCCTGCTGTCTGCCTGTTCTCAGAGCCCCACAGCCCTCGGGCCTTATCTCTCTCAGCCCATCTTCCTGCTCTGACGCTGACATGTAGTAAAAGTCTGAGACAGAGGAGTTCATGTGCGTTTAGCGTAGGGGAGGGGCAGCCAGGGCGTGTAGTTGTTGAAAGAGGCTGTGGAACGATTGATTGATTTGGAGAAAAGAGGTCCTTCTTCACACTGCTAAAGTAACCCTCAAATGGCCTAAAGAGTTAAATATTTAAGAAAAGGAGGAAACATAAAAAATTGCTAAAAGTTTATCTGTTGTTAGGATGGGAAAGGTCTTTCTAAGAACAGATTTCATAATGAAGCTGTCAGATAAAATATTTGGCAGAAAATTCCCCTTCATACATTAACATGGCTAAAAATTATTAAACAGGGCCAGGCGCGGTGGCTCACATCTGTAATCCCAGCACTTTGGGAGGCCGAGGCGGGTGGATCACGAGGTCAAGCAAGAGATCGAGACCATCCTGGTCAACATGGTGAAACCCCGTCTTTACTAAAAATACAAAAAATTAGCTGGGCATGGTGGCGCGTGCCTGTAATCCCAGCTATTCAGGAGGCTGAGGCAGGAGAATTGCTTGAACCCAGGAGGCGGAGGTTGCGGTGAGCCGAGATCGCGCCATTGCACTCCAGCCTGGGTAACAAGAGTGAAACTCCGTCTCAAAAAAAAGAAAAAAATTTATTAAACGGTCAATGAAAGTAAAGAATTGCAGCATATGTGAAATTGAGTTGGAATAACAAAAACATAAGCTAAAGATAGGATAAATAACCTCATGGAAGGTGAGCAGGGACTGGAAAAGCAGCTTACCAGAGAAGTGCCACAGGCCAGGAGCTTGCACATTGTTTAATGTCCCCAACAATTTAAAAGTAACTTTAATAGTTTTGATTGGGAAGCTGGCAGAGCAATCCTCTAATATCTGATGATCCCCATGCTGAGCTTGTGGGGAAATGTCACCACCATGCACTCTTTTTGGCAGTGTCGATGGGTAAAGCCTTTGGAAGGAAAATAGGGCAGAATATGTCAAAAAAGCATTAAAATTTTTATTTTTCTTCCATGCTTCATTATTCCAGAAGCAGCAAAGTTCCGAAGGAGATGCAGGTAAAGATATCGCAGGTGTCCTAGATGGTCAACAGACCATTTAATCATTTTTGTTAACAAAGCAGGTGACAGCGGAGCCCTGACTTGCGTTTCATTAGTTGCAGGATCTTGCCCATTCTTCTGAGGAACCATGATTTCCAAGAAGCAGGTTGCACCCAGCAGTCTCCCACTGGCCCGTGGCACTGCAGGTGCAGGGGCTGCCTCCTGGATTTTGGGACGCTTTACAAGGTCACTGAGGGTCTCCATTATACATTTGGTAGAATTGAAGGACTGCCAGACTCAGCCTTACTGTTGTTGATGTATTAGTGCCATCATATGTGATGAGGACATATTATATTCCGTTATTCTGTTTAGTTCAAGGAAGAATGAAGAATTTGGACCAAAATTAAAACCAGATTATGACCAATTTTCTAAGCAAAAGAAACAAAGTAACTGCCAAGGTTAACAAAGATGTAATAATTGTCTTCACACTGCCTCGTTCTGTTTTATGGAGTATATTATCACAAATCCTGAGCTTACCAAGCTCATGGAAACAGGCACATGGCCAATAAGAACTTAATTTCACACCAATAAAACTTTAGACTTTGGATTTATTTAGGGCCGTCTTTATAGAATGTGTAGTTTTCTCTAGATGGTGGATGGGACAGCCGCCCCTCAGCAAGACCCTGGCCTAAATGTATGTGCTTTATTTGCACAACAAGAGGATGACAGTAAACAAGGGAGGCCCTGAAGGACGATGTACACGGGGCACCCTGCAGAGGCTGCCTGGCTTCCCAGTGGGACAGGCCCATGGGAGGCCTTCTAGACCCTTTGCTTGACATTCATGTTTAATGCCTTGATCTTTCTTTTTGGTTGTATTCCCTGGAGCTCATATAGATAATTTTACTTTTCAGAGATGCTAGTTCTGGTGCCCCCCTCCTCCCTCACACAAAATCCATCAACTCTTCCGAATTCCTCACTTTCAAAGCTCGCCTCATACAAAGTAGAGACATCTTTTTCAGGAAACATTGCCACCACATGCTCGAAGGGCTGCTTATGGCCACATCTATCTCCAACCAAGGTCTCTTCAACTCCTTCTACAACAATGCGCTTTGTCTGCACTGAGAGAAGAAATGACAGCCTTTTTTCTTTTCTCGATTTTGTTTTGGTGTGGAGCATTTCCGAACTTTATAGGACATCTATAAAAATACCTACAGAAAATCCTAAGGAACCTATGAGAAGATTTCCTAAAGCTAATAAGTGAGTTTAACAGGATCACAGAGCGCAAGGTCATCATGCGGAAGTCATTTTTATATCCTAGCAATGCACAATTGGAAATTTAAAAATACCATAGTAACTTCAAAACTGTGAAAGGCTTAGAAACCTAACAAAATGTGTAAGATCTGAACACTGAAAATGATGAGACAATAATGAAAGAAATCCCAGAAAGCCTAAATAAATGGAGAGACAAGAAGGTTCATCCTGTAAAGATACATGTTCTCCTTAAATTGATCTGTAGACTTAATAAAATTCCAGTCAAAATCCAGGCAGGATTTGTTCTTAAAGATAAGCTCATTATGAAATGTATATGGAATGTAAAGGAACCAGTGCTATGGTGTGTCCCCAGCAAATCTTACGTTGAAATTTGTTCCTCAGTGTGGTGGTGTTGGGAGGTGGGGTCTAGTGGGAGGTGTTTGGGTCATGGGCATGGATCCCATGCCCTTGAGTAGATGAATGCCCTTCCTCATGGGTAGAAAAGTGAGTTCGTGCTCTCTCAGGTCCCAACAAGTCCTGGTTCTCAAAAAGAACCTGGCACCTCCGATTGCCTGTGCTCTCACCCTGTGGTCTCTGCACCTGCCAGCTCCCCTCTGGCTTCCACCATGAGAGGAAGCAGCCTGAAGCCCTCACTATCTAGATTGGGCATCTGCCCAAGCCTGAACTTTCCCAACCAGCAGAACCATGAGCCAAATAAACCTCATTTCTTTATAAAGTACCCAGCCTCAGATATTCCTTTATAGCAACACAAAAATCAACTAAGGTAACTAGAGTAGCTGATTCAGTTTTTTAAAAGAAGAATAAAGTTGGAGGAAATATACTACTTGATTTTAAAGCTACAGTAATCAGGACAGCGTGGTATTGGTGAAGGGACAGACATGTAAGTCAGTGGAATGGAGAAGAGAAATAGATTAATACAAATAGGTACAAAAATCAGCTTAATGGAGAAAAGACAGTCTTCAGCAAATGATACCAAAATAGTTGTTGTCCATATCTAAAAAAATAAAACCTCAGCCTCACATCTCACACACACCTGAACTTAAAATTGATCATAGATCTAAGTGTGTAAAATATAAAGCTGTAAAGCTTCTTGAAGAAATCATAGGAGAAAATCTTCATCACCTGGACTTAGGCAAAGGGTTTTTAGGAATGACTATGAAAGCATGATCCATAACAGAAAATGTTGATAAATTGAATTTTTTCAGAACTAAAAACGATTGCTCTGCAAAGGATGGTGTTAAGAGAATAAAAAGCAAGCTAAGATTAGGAGACAGTATTGCAAATAATATATCCAGTGTACGTTCTGAATATACAAAGAACTCTCAAAACTCAACAGGAAGAAAACAAGCCAGTTGAAAATGGGCAAAAGGCTTGAACAGACACTTTTCCAGAGTGGATATGCAGATATTACATACACACATGAAAAGACGTTCAACATTGTTAGCCATCAGGGAAATGCACATTAAAGCCGCAGTGAAATATCACTTACACCTATTGAAAAATGACTAAATTAAAAAAAAAATCTGATAGGGATACCAAGTACCATTGAGGATGAGGAGCAGCTGAAAGTCAAGCATTGCTGGTGGCATGCCACTGTGGAAACAAGTTGGCACTTACAGAGTTGTGTGTGCACTCACCTTATGCCCTGGAGTCCCTCTCCTGCATATTCAGCCTAGAGAAATGCAAGTTGTGTTCACACAAAAACCTGTACGTGAATGATTGTACTGGCTCTCTTTATAATTGCTCAAAATCCTGGAAAAACTCAAGTGTCCTTCATCAGGATAATCCATAAGGGATAAACGGGTGCATCCACGCAGCAGAATGCCACTGAGCAGTGAAGAGGAGCCAGTTATTGAAACAGTTAGTTCGGAGGAAGCCCAGAAACTTTACACTGAGTGAAAGAGACTCCTCTTGAAAGGTTATATACTGTTTGGTTCCATTGATACGATACTTTCAAGAAGACACAAGACCATGGGGATGGAGACCTGATGAGTGGCTTGCAGAGGCTGAGGGTGGGGGAGGGCGTGGCCACCAGAGGAAAGCATAAGGAGTGTTTTGGGGTGGCAGAGCTGTGTGTATGCTGGCTGTGGTTGTGAGGACAAAATCCACACAAGCGCCGAAGTTCGTAGGCTGTACACCAGAAAAGCTGAGTTTGACTATATAACTGAAAAAATAAAAGTAGATTGGATGTACATATTTCTCATGTGTGTGTATAGAAAAATACTTAAACTGCAGAGTGCTAACAGTGGTTCCTGCTGGATGCTGGGTTAATATGTGATTTTTATTTTTGTTTGAACTTTTGTACATTTTCTCCATTTTCTATACAAAACACTATTACTTCTATAATAAAACCTGCTTGAGATTATCGAAGAAAAGTAAAACCCCTCTGTTGCTTCTCATCAACTACTGGATGAATTGCAAGCTCCCCGGGTGGCTCGCAAGGTCCACCCACCCGCCTGGTGCTCCCTCTACTCTTTTCTGTGTTTGAAGCAAGTTGTGGTTCAGACAGAAAGCCTGGCCTTTCAGGGTGTTGGGTCCCCACTTCCTCAGTCATAGATGTGACATCCTTCCCTTGACTTGGGACCTTCTGAGGGATGCAAGGTGGACCAGGGGACCACGTGAATGGCCAAGGCATGCCTGTGTGGCTTTCAGTTTCTTAAGGAGTGACTTCAGTCCACTTAAAGGGTTGTGAAAACTCGAGAATACTACAGACCAAATATATCTTTTTTTTTTTTTTTTTTTTGAGATGAAGTTTCGCTGTTGTTACCCAGACTAGAGTGCAATGGCACGATCTCAGCTCACTGCAACCTCCGCCTCCTGGGTTCAAGCAATTCTCCTGCCTCAGCCTCCCGAGTAGCTGGGATTACAGGCACGCACCACCACGCCCAGCTAATTTTTGCATTTTTAGTACAGACGGGGTTTCACCTTGTTGACCAGGATGGTCTCGATCTCTTGACCTCGTGATCTACCCGCCTCGGCCTCCCAAAGTGCTGGGATTACAGGCGTGAGCCACCGCGCCCGGCCACCAAATATATCTTATGTAACAGTTGGGACCCTGCAACACTTCAGGGCTCTTTCAAAATCTGGTAGTTACTAACTCTTCAGTGACTTAAGATGGGACCAAAGTGAAGATTTGTCCTTGCTTTTAGCTCTGCTTCAGTTCTTAATTCTAATGGGAAATTATGTGACTTAAACCCAGGCTGTGAGATGCATCAATGGCCATTACATGTGGGCATCAAATAAAGCTGCGAGACATTTTCTTGCATGGTACACTGGCCTAGGCAGGAATGTTCTTGAGGCTAAAACTGTAGAACTCTGACTGTAGTGTTGGGAATGTGGTGGTGAGAGGCCTGTGCAGCCCCGGGGCCTGAGATGTGTCTCCTGTGTGTCTCACTCCTATGCAGTTTGAGTTCATGATCGAGTCCATCCTGTATGCCCGGGATGCCTGGCTGAAGGAGGATGGGGTCATTTGGCCCACCATGGCCGAGTTGCACCTTGTGCCCTGCAGTGCTGATAAGGACTATCGTAGCAAAGTGCTCTTCTGGGACAACGCATACGAGTTCAACCTCAGCGCTCTGAAGTAAGTGTCCACAGCTGGGACGGTACTGTCCCGTGGGGCCTCCTGGTCCACAGCCTGTAGGTGAGCCAAGGCCCTGGGAGATCCCACACAATGGATGGATAAATGAGGGTACCTGTGCACCCAGATAGGACAGTCTGTTGTAGCGCTGGAGTAATTAAAACAGTATGGTGCTGTAACAAGAAAAGACAGATGAGCAGAGAACGAAAATGTTCATCCATGGAAAAGATGGCATTCCCATTAGGAGGGAGTGAGGGCCGAGTCAGGAGATTACTCAGGAGCAGTTGATTAGCCGTTTTCTCTCACACCATGCATGAAAACTTAATTCTGCCTGGAATCAACGTTAACAACAGACATCCATGGGAGCCTGTGTGCGCCATCCTAGGTGGAGAAATGAGCAGCAACAATGGCTGAAATGAACCCTGGGCTAGAGAGAGTCTGGCAATCTATATGGCAGAAATTAGCAAACACACCAATGATTAGAGAAATCACGTGCTGACAGATCTGGGAATCGATTAGAGAGAGCTGACTAGCCAAATAGAATTACAGCCCAATTGCCAGGCGCAGTGGCTCACGCCTGTAATCCCAGCACTTTGGGAGGCCAAGGCGGGTGGATCACCTGAGGTTGGGAGTTTGAGACCAGCTTGACCAACATGGAGAAACCCCGTCTCTACTAAAAATACAAAATTAGCCAGGCACGGCGGCTCATGCCTGTAATCCCAGATATATGGGAGGCTGAGGCAGGAGAATCGCTTGAATCCGGGAGGCAGAGGTTGCGGTGAGCCAAGATTGTGCCATTGCACTCCAGCCTGGGCAACATGAGCAAAACTCCGTCTCAAAAGGAAAAAAAAAAAAAAAAAAAAGAATTAACAGCTCAATCACATGAACAAGCAAATCACAGAAAGTAAATAAAATTACCAATAAATATGTGAAAAATTATAATGTTATTAGTAGTTAAAATGCAGATTAAAATAGATGTTCCTTTCCCCACCAGAAAAGCAAAGAGTAAATTAAAATAGTAGCCCAGGCTTGCCTGGTGGTGACAGGGAGGTGTGACTGCCCGGGCCTTAGAGGTTGGCATCTGGCTGCCCACCCCACCCACTGCCAGAGCCTCCTGCCTGAGTGATCCTCCCAGCACTGGAAGCCAGTGGCTGTCCAGAGAAATATGATTGAATTGCTGTATATCGGTCTGATGAAGTACTACTGTGTAGCTGTTAAAAAAGAAACTGGGTTTTTAGGGATATGTAATGATACTTGGAAAGGGTTTAAGAGACAGTAAAGCTTGGCAGAATAAGTCATTTATACAGAATGGACGTTAGTTTGCATAAATAAGTTTATATAAATATGACGGGGATAATGCTGAGACAAGCATATGGAGAATTTAAACTTTCTATTTGCCCATATTTTCCCATTTTTAAATAAATTCACAATTTTTATCAAAAATATTCAGAAATATGTAAATATAGTGGAATCTTTTTTAAAAACATTCACTTTTATATGCTATTTCAGAAGTTACTGCTTTGTTACTTTTAAAATATTTCTGTGGTAAGTAATAGGTGACTTACTGGCGAGCCCAGTGCAGCCCGTGATGGGGGGTTAGCAAACGGTGACACGCAGGGCTCTGGGCGGCATCTGGTGTCTATTTCCGTGTTGAATTTGTGTAGCAACAGAGCAAGTATTTCTCCTAAAACTCAGACTCACTTAGGCCACCTCAGCCCTCGAGTTCCTTATGTTTATTATAGAGTAACCTGCAGCAGGAATACCGCTTTCATGAACTGTTAATAGAAGATCCACAAAAGGTATTTCGAAATCAAATAGATTCTAAAACTCGGCAAGATGCACTGCAGCCCCTCATGTCCTCCGGGTTATGGGGGTGAGTGTTGGTTTCCAAGTGCTCAGATCCCATGAATGAGACCTCACCGGGAAGGGCCCAGTGACTCACAGGTCAGGCTCAGGAGGGCTCCGGATGTCCGGGTGGGGTCTGGGTCCTCTGGCGGCCTGAGGGCTGCTCTCGGGGCTCGGGGCCCCAGACCGTGGCTTGTACGATGTTCGCAATGACTGACAGTTGCTCTGACCTTTCCCCTAGATCTTTGGCAGTCAAGGAGTTTTTTTCCAAGCCCAAGTATAACCACATTCTGAGACCAGAAGACTGCCTCTCCGAGCCGTGCACTCTATTGCAGCTGGACATGAGAACCGTGCAAGTTCCTGATCTAGAGGTGAGAAAAAGATGAGTTGGCTCTTACATTTAATAATCAGCGAGCGGGAAACACTCAGACCAGAGCCCGGCTTACTACCCTAAAGCTTCAGTGAGTGCCAGCGGTAGGAGTGTGTAACTATTTTGTTATACAAATAAGTGAATTTATAAAGCGTTTGGTCCTGATTTTTCCGCTTTTTTATGTTCTGTTCGGATTCTTCCATATTGTACATCATCTTCTTTATAGCTCTCTCTAGCGTCTTCATTTTAGATTTGTGTTTAACATTCTCAGCATCTTCAAAATCAAATAAATTATATTCCGTTTCGTTATGGTATTTGCATTAAGTTTTTTTTCAAGTGTTTTTAGCCACTCTTGTTAACAGAGTTGTTACGGTTCCTTCCACGAATCCCCGTCTGCGGCCGCGCAGTGGCGCGTGGGCTCCGGGCCGGTCCCCGCGGCCCTGCCCTGCCTGGCGCCCCGCTTGGCGCCGCGTCTGGAGACTGGGCAGCCGCGGTGCGTGGGCGCAGCGTTGGTTTTCAGGTCGTTCTGCTGGGGAAAGGCCCAGCCTGAGCTCTCCAACTCCTTAACTTGAGGAGCTGAGCGCAGAAGAGATTCCACAGGAATTTGGGGCAGAAAATTGGGTGCAAGAAGCTCAGATTGCTTTACACGTTTCTGACTGAAGCCTCTCAACTCAAGATGCGGGTTTTGGGGCTGGTTTCCCCAGGGCGGGGGGCTTTTCTGCGGCTCCTGACGCGTCAGCGTCTGCGCGGGGCGCACGGAGGGGGACGCCCCCGGGGCCACGCGGTGCCCATGCGTGCCTTGTCGTCTGCTTGACCCAGACCCTGAGGGGCGAGCTGCGCTTCGACATCAGGAAGGCGGGGACCCTGCACGGCTTCACGGCCTGGTTTAGCGTCCACTTCCAGAGCCTGCAGGAGGGGCAGCCGCCGCAGGTGCTCAGCACCGGGCCCTTCCACCCGTGAGTGTGGGGCGGGGTACGAGGACGGGGCACTGCGGTCGTGGGGGTATATGTGGCGGGATGGGACGGCGTGCGTGGGTGGTGCAGACGCTGCAGCCTGTGGGTCCCCTTCGGTCTCGCCCCACTCTGGGCCGGGCCTGGGCCATCACCCCGGGAACAGCCCCAGCGGGAGGAGCTCCCTGTCTTCCCGCCCCCGAGGAACACCCACAGGTCTTCATGGTCTGACCCCAAGCGCCTCCGCAGGAGGTCGGGGTTCACCTGACGCTTTTGGAGCGCCTCAGGTCATTTCCTGAGACATATTTCTTGGCCAGGACCCTGGGCATGCGTGGGGGTGGAGCTGCCTTCGTGGGGGTGGCGGGGCGCAGGCTTCCCTTTGGGACTGGGGTGGAGTTGGCTGCCCAGCTGTCACACCTGCCCCGCGAGGGGACCACGGCTCCAGGGAGGCCGCAGACATGCGGGGTTGATGCCACTGGCCTGGAATGTGGGCTTGAATCACAAGGGTCCTGTGGTACCCCCTTCAGTGCCCTCACCTGGCAGAGGTGGGCAGCTCGGAGGCCGGTTATACCCACCCCCAAGTCTGGGGGAACCGAGAGGACAGTGAGCTCGGGCACATGCTGAGCTGAGGGGTGTGGCCAGAGTCAGGGAGAAACTGGAGACCTGAGGAGCCCCCCTTCACCGCTGGGCCCGTGGACAGTGGGAGTTTGAGGGCAACAGAATCTGAAGAACTTAGAGACGTTTCCATTGCAACTCTGCAGAATCCTAGCGTCTTACTGTTTCCCCCCAAGTGTGACAGTTGTCCTCACATTGTAACTGGCACAGAAGCGACTCCCTGGACCTGATTCCGTGTGTGTCCCCCACACTTTTACGGAGGAGCTACATCAGCAGCCTCTGCGCTTAGGCGGGGCACAGAGCAAGCGGGTAGACAGACGTCCGCCTGGCAGGGCCCGGGAGTCAGACACCACTGGGGGACCCTGTGTGCAGCTGTGTGTCCCCTGGGTGACCCAGGGTGAGCCGTCCACACCTCCTGGAATCTGAGTGGTCTCAGGACCAGCCTTCTGTTTGGCATTGGCAGGATCTGTCTCACCAGCCTACCTTTGACCCCAGCATATCCCATAGCCTGTTTAGATCACACAGCTGGGGGTGTTTCTGTCCCGAGTTGGCCTGAAAAGCCAAGCATCGTGTCCCATGCTCTCAGGGTGGACTGCCGGCCGGCGGCTGCTGCTGGGGGTGAGCCAGTGCCCTGAGGGCCATGTGGAGACTGTGCTGCCTCAGCCTCCAGGTCACACGCAGCCCTGTCTTGTAGCACCACACACTGGAAGCAGACGCTGTTTATGATGGACGACCCAGTTCCTGTCCACACAGGAGACGTGGTCACGGGTACAGTTGTATTGCAGAGAAACCCGGTGTGGAGAAGGCACATGTCGGTGGCTCTGAGCTGGGCTATCACTTCCAGGGAAGACCCCACATCTCAAAAAGTAAGATATTTAGTTGTAAGATTCTGTCTTGTGGGTGCCGGTCCTCAGGGAGACAGGCGTGGGTGGTGCTGGTGACGGTAGATGCTTGCTCACACTGGGGCCCACGCCTTTTGTGTACGAGCGATTTAATCCTCACACAGAAAGCACGTGCTGTTATTGGGTTCATTTCCCATCTGACAGCACAGGAAGTGGAGGGCTATGGAAGGGAAGTCATTTCCTCAGGTGACAGTAAGTGAGGGAGAGGAGAGACCCACATCAGCCTGAGGCCCTTTGTGCCATGTCCAAAGGGGCCCCCAGGTGGACAGAGGCCTGAGCTGTGCCTTGATGCTCCCTTGACAGAGGTCCCTGTGGCTTCCCAGGCAGCAGTTAATCTAGACGTGTTGTCCGTGCTGCATGTTCTGACTGGCAGCCTGCTGGTCCGTGTACGAATTCTTGTGTGGCTCACCCAGCTCACTCGGGCTTCCTGTCTCAGAGGCTGCTAAAAACGGAATGTTTTTCTTTGGACTCAGAATTAATGTGGCAAAGAAAATAAAAACAAATGCTTTTCCTTTATGCTTTATACTTGTTTTGTGCTTTGCTTTGTGATAATTTTTTGCTAAAAGTTTAGATGCCATTTAAAAAAATTCTGCACCTGAATAGTGTTCTTTTTTGTCCAATATTAAGCCATTAGGAAATGTAGTATGTTAATCAAATGATTTATTATGTGATTGACCTGTGGTCATTTATCCTTTTCAGGTTGGAGAAAAAGTCTTCCCAATCTGGAGATGACAGTTGATGCTTTATTTGGAAAGCAGTGTGCATGTTTAAGAGGCAACGGACACAAGCCAACCGAGATGCACCTGGCTGCTGCACACTCCGCATTGACCCTCCCCAGCTGGCAGGTGACGTCAGGGTCCTTCACAGACAAACACACTTGGGCTCGGCAGGAGCTGCCGTGGCCACGTCCGCTGCCCAGTGTCTGCCCTCTAGAAGTAGGCTGTGTTTCCAGGTGTTCGCCCGTGGTGCCCACAGTGCCAACCTGTGGCTAGGTTGTAGCTCCACATTCCCAAGCTAGGTCTAGGTCCACACTCCTAGGACGCACGCATATCAGCCCATGTACCCCGTGACAGTGACTGTCCAGGCCTCCTGTGTTAGTGGTGCCCTTACTGCCATCGCTCATCCACTCGGGTGGGATGTAGGATTGCACAGGCCTGTGCCAGTGGCGTGTAGGGACACTGCCCGGGCTCAGCGCAGGAGCTGAGGTGGCGATGCATGCGATGGGACTCTGCATGGATAGTACAGTTGTGTAGATGTCTTCCAAATAAATTTCGTGTCGGTGCATCACACATGCTCAATAAATATTTTTAAATGAATGAAGTCATTGTGTACCCTGTTTTTAATGCATATGTGTTACCTTTTATAACCACAGGATCATACCACATGGATTGCTCTGTATGCTTTTCTCAGTATTTTGAAAAAACTTCCAAATCAGGAGATACATGTCTAAATTTTTTGGTTTTTTGTATTGTTTTGATTTTTATTGAATTTTACTGAAATATAGGCTGGTGCAGTGGCTTATGTCTGTAATCCCAGCACTTTGGGAGGCTGAGGTGGGATGATTGCTTGAGCTCAGGAGTTCAAGGCCACCCTGGGTAACATAGTGAGATCCTATCGCTACAAAAAATACAAAAATTAGCTGGGCATGGTGGCATGTACCTGTAGTCCCAGCTACTCGGGAGGCTGAGGTGGGAGGATCACTTGAGCCCAGGAGGCTGAGGCTGCAGTGAGCTAGGATTGCACTGCTGCACTCCAGCCTGGGCCACTGAGCAAGACCCTGTCTCAGAAACAACAAAAACAAGATATAAAGCATTATACTGAAACCAGTGCTAGGTGTGGATACATAGATGGCGGCATTTTACAAAGCAGACGCACACATAACCAGCGTCAGGCCAGGACATGGTACATACTCCCCGAGTCCCCTTCCACTCAGCGCCTGCCCTCTCGAGGGTGCTATCCTGACTTGGTGTCAGTTACTCTTGCCTGGCTTTGAACATTATATGAATGGAATTATACATGTGTTGTTCTCTGTCTGCCTTAATTAAGCATGTTTGTGAGACTCCTCTGTGAGTTGCAGACAGTGTGGTTGTGACTTACTTTTTCACCGTGGTAAAGTATTCAGCTGCATGAATAGACCATAGTTTATGAATCTTATTTCACACGGTGTCCTTTTGGCTGTTAACAGGGTTTAGCTATTACGATTACTGAGACTGTGGACATTTCTGCATATGTCTTCTGGTGCAGGTGTGTACACATTTCTGTTGGGTGTACACGGTACTCCAGGTTTTCAAGTCAAGGAATCTAATATCCCTGCCAGCTGTGCATGAGAGTTGGCATCGTCGTCAACAACAGTGTTGTGTTTTGCATTTCACCTGCTCTGGCAGACGTGTGGATTTCGTATACATTTCATTTCATTGATGACTAATCCAGTCTCATAGATTTGCTGCGCATTTGGATATCCTGTTTTTGAGGTGCTTGTTTGAGTCTTTGGCCTATTTTGCTGTTAAGGCTGTTTGTCTATTTCTAATTGAGATTCTGGTGTTCCTGAATAATCTGGCTGAGTCCTATATCACATATATTTTTGTGAATATCTTTTCACTTTCTGTGGCTTATTTTTTTTCGAGATGGAATCTTGCTCTGTCATCCAGGCTGGAGTGCAATGGCATGATCTCAGCTCACTGCAACCTCTGCCTCCTGGGTTCAAGTGATTCCCCTTGCCTCAGCCTCCTGAGTAGCTGGGATTACAGGTGCCTGCCACCATGCCCACCTAAGTTTTGTATTTTTAGTACAGATGGGGTTTCACCATGTTGATCATGCTGGTCTCGAACTCCTGACCTCAGGTGATCCACCCACCTCAGCCTCCCAAAGTGCTGGGATTACAGACATGAGCCACTGCGCCCAGCCTCTGTGGCTTTTCATGCTCTTAAGAAGAGTATTTTGATAAGCAGAAGTTCTTAAGTGTTATGTTGTCCAATTTGAAAGTATACTGTCTTTGTGGCTGATATTGTTTTCTCTTTTCCACTTAGATCAAATACTCCACCTGGAATTGATTTTTGTCATTATTGTGAGGGGAGGGGTCAAGCTTTATTTTTTTTCCTAGAGATAGAAGCTTAAATCATTGATTTCAACGTTTCTTTCTAATACATAGATCGGAACTCTTAATTTTTTTCTAAAATTGCTTTGGATGCAACAGTGAATTTTGATATATTTTCAGTATCACTCAGTTTGAAATGTTACCATGTTTCTGTTACAATTTCCTCTTTTGTATTATGGGCTATTTAGAACTGCGTGTGGCTTAATTTTGAAAGGCAGGATTTTCTAGTTACTTTTTCTTATCGATCTCTGGCTTAATTTCACGGTGGCCAGAAAGCAAATTGAGGAATTCTAATCGCTTGAAATTTGTTGAAGCTTGTTTTATGACTCGGTGCATGTGAGCTATATTCTTGTGCACTTGAGGAGAATGTGTATTCTGTTGTTGAGGGCAGGGTTCCACATACGTAATTTAGATCCAGTTTGTTAGTTGTGTTGTTCAGCTAGTTGGATGTTTACTGATGTTCTTGTCTGCTTATAGAGTCTCTGTCTTGGTTCAGGGTGCCATAACAAAACACCACAGACTGGGCAGCTTCAACAGGAGGAATTTATTTCTCACGACTCTGGAGTCTGGGATGACCAAGACCAAGGTGCTGGCCTCAGTTCCTGCTGAAGCTGCTCTTCCTGGCCTGCAGATGGCACCTTCTCCCTGTGCCCTTACGTGGCAGGGAGAGAGAAAGGGCATGCTCTTGTGTCTCCTCTCATAAGGATGCTCATCCTACTGGATCAGGGCTTCACCCTATGACCTAATTTGACCTTAATTGCTTCTGTACAGACCACATGTCCAAAAACAGTCACATTGGGGATTAGAGCTTCAGCGCAGGAATTTTGGGAGACACAATTCAGTCCTTAGCATTCTTCTGGCCCCTCAAAATACATATAGAAAATACATTCCACCCCAGCCCAGCAGTCCCCAAAGTCATAACTCATCTTTAGATGCTCTGTACTACAAAATCTTATTTAAATATCATCTAAATCAGCCGTGGGTGAGACCAAGCTATGATTCATCCTGAGGCAAAATTCCCTCTCTAGCTGTGAGCCTGTGAAACCATACATGTGATGTGCATCCAGAATAGAAACATGGGTCAGGCCTAGGGTAGACACCCTCGTTTCGAAAGGGAGAAGTGGAAGGAAGGGGTCATAGGTCTCGAGCCAGTCCGAAACTTAGCAAGGCAAATTCTGTCAGATCCCAGGACTTGAGAATGATCCTGTTTGGTTGGTGCTGTGGCCCCAGCTCCTGGGGTGGCAGTGTCACTGCCATGACTTGGAGAGGCTGCCCTGCCCTGGGGGCCCTCTGCAAGGGCAGCCCACTCTAGAGGCCTGTGAAGACTGGGGGGCAGCCCATCTTTGAAACTGAGGAAGAAATGGCCTTCTCCCTTGGGCCTGGGGTGGAAGTGGTGGCTCCGATGTTCTCTGAATCAGTTTGGGGGTCATTCTTTCCCTTCTTTGGAGAGTAGTGCATGTTTGCAGCCCAACAGCCATTTTGGCCAGGCTGGTTTAGAACTCCTGACCTCATGTGATCCACCCTCCTCGGTCTCCCGAAGTGCTGGGTTTATTGACGTGAGCCACTGCGCCTGGCCTGTGTCAGGATTTTCTATCATGGACATGGAGGCTAATGGTATTTATGGTTATTAGAAAAGGCATCCCAGCCAAATGCAGTGGCTCAGGCTTGTAATCCCAGTGCTTCAGGCCAAGGCAGGAGGATCACTTGAGCCTAAGAATTTGAGACCAGCCTGGGCAACATGACAAGACTTGCCCACAAAGCAGAGGCTCGCAGAAGTGGAAGTGCCAGCCTTCTGTCACTTCCATCACGTCCGCAGCGTCTGTAGGTCGCTGAGATTCAGGGGAGGGAGGAATGGCGAGGAGCTGCTGGGAAGGAGACAGTGCTGCAGCCGGACCCAGGCAGGGCGTGACTACTGGAGGCTGCTTCCCCTACAAGGCTCCGAGGGCCAGGCAGGGGCAGCCACAGGCGTGCATTCCTGGACTTCCCTATTACTTTTCAGGCTGTGAATTGTCCAACACCTCTTGAAAAGTGGAGAAATCATTCTGAAGCCTTGAGACAATTGTCACTCTCATCGTTCACTGATGACTTGGGCTGAATAAGCAATTAACAGCCAGTTTTTGAACCAAAACACGTGAATTCTTTTCTGCTGGCTAAGAAGCAGCAGCCAATAAGGAATGTTGTTCAAAAACTACGCTCTGAGGTCAGTTTTTGTCTGATGCCCCCTTTGGGTTTTGCTATAACCCACTTCCTGACGCCGTTTCATGGGTGAAACACCTAGGCCCAGACCCATTTGGTTAGGAACCCAAATTGACTTCCTTCCTCAGACATCACCTCCAAGAGAAACCCTGCCTGACTGCCCAGGGGCTGTACCTGTAAACACCCCTTTATATCCCTCTGCCCTGAGCCCTACTGTGCATTGGGTTGTTCTTGAGAAAAGTGCAAGATGTTTAAAAAATGTTTTCTGCTGAGTTTCATAAACATACCTTCAGAAACACAACTGTTTAACAACGATTTAATATGAATCACGTGTAATCTTCTGCCAGCAGTCTTAATATATGATTATACTCCATTATCCACTTGGTAAAATGCGTGGACTCTAAAAGAAATTCTTAAATACAGAACTAATGCCATATTCAGTCATTCATCGCTGAAGAGTTATATTTGTTCCCCACCAACCTATGTCAGATGGAAACTTTATTCAAATTTATGAAATGTCTATGTGCCATCTAGAGTACTTTCTGGGAAAAAAAAAAGTCAGTCATTCAACAAACGAGTATGTTCCAATCAGTGTCAGGTGCTGAAATATACAATTGGACAAACAAATATCTTAACCCTCATGAAATCCGTCTTAGTAGAGAACTGAGGATATGAAGAGAACAGTTGGGTTTATTCGCGTAAGAAAATAGTCAGTATATGACTTTAATTCTTGGATAAAAAGAAAGTAAAAGGAGTAATTGAATAATTGCTGAAAGAATTTCAATGAATAGAATTATACTAATATATTCAAATTGTTGTATAAGATTTTTTATAAGGAAAATCAGTATATTTTAATAGATATATCAATATCCATTTATATATAAATACGCAAATTTTAATAATATAATTACTTATTTTGTACTTTTATTGATGAAAATTTCCAAACATACACAAAAGTAGAAATTGCAGTGAACCCAATATACATCACCCAAGTTCAACAATCAAAAATATTCTGCCATATTTGTTTTACAGATTCTAATCTTTCTTTTTGCTGGAGTAATTTTAAAGTAGATTTCAAACGTTTTGCAGTTTCACCAATAAAAATAGTTGCATCTCAAATTTTAAGAAAGACATTTTCTTATGTAACCACAATGCCATTTTCACACCTATGAAAAATCATAATTTTTAAATGTCAGTTGTACCTGGTTCATATTCAAACTCATACTGTCTAAAAAAGAAAATCTTTTCACAGTTCAATGTTTTATTCCCATCAGAGTTGAAACAAGGTTCACACATTGTATTTTGTTCCTGTGTCTCTTACACCTCTTACTACCACAGACACCTCTCCCAGCCCCGCTTCCACCCTTTGTGTGGTGTGCATTTGTCCTGCTATTGGCATGCGGAGGAGGCCGAGTCAGTCATCCCACAGAATGCCTACATTCGGATGTGACTACATTTCCTTGCTGTTTAGCTAGCCCTTCTAACCCCTGTGCTTCCTGCAGAGTAGAATTTACCTCTAAAGACTTGAGTAGATGCAAGTTCTGTTTTTAAAGAATCTTTAAATCACTAAGTATGATTTATTCAAATTAAATGAAAGGTATTTGTGAATGATGGTTAATGTTATGTGTTAACTTGACTAAAACACACTTCCCAGATAAACAGTCAAACATGATTCAAGATGTTTCCGTAAAGGTATTTTTAAAGATATGATTAACATTTAAATCAAAAGACCTTGAGTAAAGCAGATGATCTTCCATAATGTGGCTGGGCCTCATCCAGTCAGTTAAAGGCCCCAAGAGAAAAAAGACTGACCTCCCGCAAAGAGCAGGGAATTCTGCCAGCAGACTCAAACTTCAGCACTGGCTCTTCCCTAGGCTCCAGCCTGCTGACTTATCTTGCAGATTCTGGACTTCCCAGTCTCCACTACTGCATGAGCCAATTCCTCAAAATAAATATCTCTCTATAGATACAGAGATATAGATATAGATGCACACACGCACACACACACACAATTTCTCTGGAAAACCCTAACAAATACAGCACTTTTCAGAGGAATTTTAGTGAGGAATATTTAAATAAATGTATCCCTCCAAAATATGACAAGTGTAACATATAACATTAAATTACTAAAAATAGTGTTTAAAATGTTGAACTTACGTTTTGCACCCCCGCCAACTTTTGTGTCTTTTGTATTCAGACTTAACTTGAAGTTCGGGTGAATTTTTGTACTGGGATGGAAATAGAGGACTACGGCGGGATTTTCATCTGCATTTATTTTAATAGAAATCATTTTACATTAATCTTGTTCTAGTGCATAAAAAACAAATTTATGCATTCCTGTCAGGGCTCTTCTCATTCTCTATATTTTCATGTGTTACCCATTTCTTCATCTGTAAAACTGTCAGCAATAATCTCTGCTTTAAGATGCATCATACCCCAGCCTGGGTAATGTGGCAAAACCTCATCTCTACGAAAAATACAAAAATTAGCTGGGCATGATTGTGCATGCCTACAGTCCCAGCTCCTCAGGAGGCTGAGGTGGGAGGATCACCTGAGCCTGGCGAGGTCGAGGCTGCAAGTGAGCTGTGCTGGCACCACTGCACTCCATTCTGATGCCCCATACAGAGTCTGACCCAAAGTAGCAATAAGTGGTAGTGATCATCAATATCATTATCAGCATCATTCTCACAGTCATCACCCCCACCATTCTCATCATCCTCGTATCATCATCACCACCACCTTCATCACCATCATCATCACCATCACGACCCCCATCAGCTTCATCACCATCACCACCATCACCCCCATCATCATCACCATCACCACCTTCATCACCTTCATCACCATCATCACCATCACCCCCATCATCATCATCACCACCTTCATCACCTTCATCACCATCACCACCATCACCCCATCATCTTCATCACCTTCATCACCATCATCACCATCACCACCACCCCCATCATCATCTTCATCACCATCATCACCTTCACCATCATCATCTTCATCACCATCACCTTCATCACCATCATCACCTTCATCACCATCATCACCTTCATCACCATCATCTTCATCACCTTCATCACCATCACCTTCATCACCTTCATCACCACCACCTTCATCACCTTCATCACCATCACCTTCATCACCACCACCTTCACCTTCATCACCACCACCTTCATCACCTTCATCACCACCTTCATCACCTTCATCACCATCACCACCATCACCTTCATCACCATCATCACCTTCATCACCTTCATCACCATCACCTTCATCACCATCACCTTCATCACCACCTTCATCACCTTCATCACCAACACCTTCATCACCATCATCACCATCACCTTCATCACCATCATCACCATCACCTTCAACACCATCATCACCTTCATCACCTTCATCACCATCATCACCATCACCTTCATCACCTTCATCACCATCATCACCTTCATCACGATCATCACCATCACCTTCATCACCACCTTCATCTCCTTCAACACCATCATCACCTTCATCACCATCACCTTCATCACCTTCAACACCATCATCACCACCTTCATCACCTTCATCACCATCACCACCATCACCTTCATCACCATCATCACCTTCATCACCTTCATCACCATCACCTTCATCACCATCACCTTCATCACCACCTTCATCACCTTCATCACCAACACCTTCATCACCATCATCACCATCACCTTCATCACCATCATCACCATCACCTTCAACACCATCATCACCTTCATCACCTTCATCACCATCATCACCATCACCTTCATCACCTTCATCACCATCATCACCTTCATCACGATCATCACCATCACCTTCATCACCACCTTCATCTCCTTCAACACCATCATCACCTTCATCACCATCACCTTCATCACCTTCAACACCATCATCACCACCACCTTCGTCACCTTCATCACCTTCACCATCACCATCACCATCACTATCAGCAGCAGCAGCTTCCCGTCATCTTCCTCTCACCATCACCACCATCACAACTCAATTGACTTTGCTCTGCATCTGTGTGCAGAGCTGCTCATGTGACAGAGGATGCACTCACTTTCAGAGTGAGTTAATAAAATTTCATTTATATTTTTTAAACTAGACTCATTGTGAGGCCACATTTACAATGCCCCCAGCTGATGTGGCCAGTCTACCCTGAAAGATGATTCCTGGCTCTCCCCAGGGCCTAGCTCCTCCGGCATTACTCACGGCCCCCTGGGCCATGTGCAGTAGAGCAGAACAGTTCAAGTGAGGTCTGTGCATTAGGGGGAAGGCAAGCACGGCAGAGGCGATGCAGACGCCAACATCTGCTCATCCCACCCCTTTTCCATACCATGGGGACCTGCTTTTAACATCCCCGAACTCACCGTCCATCACTCCAGTGCCTGTCACAACGCATGGTCAGTCTGGTGCCTGCCTGGCAGCTGGGTGACCTTGGGGAAGCCTCTTAACCTCTTCAAGCTCCATTTATTAATCTGTAAATGAGGACTAATGTGACTTTCAGGGCTCTGTGGGCATCCCTAAGTGTGAATTGGCCTGCCCCGAGCACAGGGATAAAGAGTTCAAGAGAGATTTGGGAAATGGATGGACGGATTGATGAGTGACGGGCTGGAGCGTGTCTCTTGTGCAGATTCCTCAGCACTTCGATATACGTCATCCTCACCACATCCCTGAAATGCAGGAAGATCAGAAACAGTCCCCCCGCAAAGAAAAAACCTTCCCAAGATCCCAGTGAGGGGGACCGTCTTCACAGCAAAGTGCAGCATGTCCTGATCAACACCCATTGCACTACATGGGTCCCGGGTCATGCAAGGCCAGTGCTTCTTATATGAAAAATGTATGGACAATTTCTAAAGAAAAAAACCCTCATAACTCACGAATGCAAAACTAAGTTGTTTTTAATCATATAACAATCATATACTGATATCAACTCAATGTAAACTCAAAACAAGTAGACAAATTAGATGCCGCTAAGGCCACCATGCCTATGACATCAGCCAACAGTGAGCACCCATGGGAGAGCCCTGATGTGCTGCGTGGACTCTGGGCTGCCCATCTTTCCTCAGATGCTATCTATGGGCCTCCCCCGACAAATACCCACCTGCTCCTGGGGATGGGGCTCCCCCTGGCCTCCTTGTTCTTCACTCAGACTCTTAGGGGCGAGCTTGCTCCTTGCTTGTGGCAGGGTGATGGGCACAGGCCTTCCCCAGGCACTGGCCACTGATGGCTTCTACGAAAAACCCAAAGCCTCCCTGTAGGGTGCAAGTGCTGAGGTGGGCAGATGGCTGCTGGAGCTGCTGAGCGCCTCTGGCCTGTCCTGGAGTGTCCAGGACACCCCCCATTCACCTCCAGAGCCCGCCTCAACCCCTCTGCATCCTGTGTGCTGCCTGCAGGGGGGACTCCAGCAGCCTCCCTGGACTCAAGTTTTGGTTGGTTTTGTCCAATGAGAGCAAGAAGCCAGAGGCAATTGCCTCATCCTGTCCTCCCAGTGGCCCTGCAGGTTCTCATGATAAGCTCTCCATAGGCCCTGGTTGGCAGGGGCCAAAGTGTCCCTCTGGGGACCCAGCATGTGATACAATTATGGGAGGAGAGAGGGATCTTTGGTCACACATGGGGGTCAGTCACCTTCTGAAGCTGGCTGTGGGACCCCCCCCCCTTGTTTGGCCACAGAGCATGATGGTGTCCCAGACACCCGTGGAACGTCCAGACGCACTCTGTGACAGGCCAACAGCTAGGAGGTGCAGGTTGGAATGGGGCACTGATGCACAGCCAGGGTGTGACCTGATCAACCTCTGACCTCCAGTTCATCTCCAGGCTGGGCCAGGATCCAGTTCACTAAGGCAACCTCCAAAAGCCTCCCAGTTAAAGGAAAACCACCCTGAACACATTTGTGAGGCCAAGAACTCACTCACTCTCTGACTTTTTACAAAGTTTCAGGAGGGCCAGACATGGTGGCTCACTCCTATACTCCCAGCACTTTGGGAAGCCAAGGCAGGAGCATCACTTGAGACCAGGAGTTTGAGACCAGCCTGGGTAACAATGAGACCTTGTCTCTACAACAAATAAAAATAATTATTTTTAAAAGTTGCAGGAGCCACTTTTGGTGTGGTGGCAGTTGTCTGTGGTTCCAGCTACTTGGGAGGCTGAGGCTGGGAGGTCAGGATGCAGTGAGCTATGATCGTGCCACTGCACTGCAGCCTGGGCCACAGGGTGAGACCTTGTCTCTGAAAACACGGGTTGTGCAGTGGAGCTGACAATCTTTGTACTAAGGGAGGCTATGGGCTGAGCATCCTTTGGTGACGGACCAAACCCCAAGGTCAACAGAGACACCTGGCTGCACTCAGCCTCGTGTGTCCTGTTCACACTGACACCTGTGCTGTGCCTATGTCCTCCATGCCAGCTGTGGAATTCTAGTGTAGAGGACTCAGTGCCCCAGGACTAAAGGACTCAGCCTTGGCTCACCGGGTCCCTCACTCAGGACTCCACACAGGCAAGTGATGTGCGAGCTGGTAAGTCACCCAGGCCAAGCCCACCACACTCAAGGAACCCAGGGAGACGGGACTGACCATGGTGAGGGCAACACCCGAGAGGCTGGACATGCCCGGCCTTCCAGTGCCCCCACCGAGGTCTGCCCGAGCTGGAGTGGAGCTGGGTTCTCCAATGTGGAGAACCTGTGGCTAAAAACCCTTTGGGTAATTTCTCACGGTTACTCTGCAGAGAGACTGTGGTGGCTGGGGGTTCCCGGCTGTCCGGGGTTTTATGCATGTTCATTTGGCTGCACACACATTAGCAAACTCCCTGCTGTGCGAAAAGGCTGCTGATGCAGTTGACAGCTGAATTCCAGAGAAAGAGGCCTCAAGTGCACCGTCTGGACCCCTCAGGGCACGGCAAGGCATGTGTCTGCGTGTGTGTGGAGAAGCGTTTTTCTAAAGAACCAGTCAAGTGTGTCCGGGATGAGGCCTTCCTGTCACAATATTGAGATTGCTTTGTGGCCTCTGGGGTCAGATGCTCCAGCTGTCATCTTGCAAACATGAAGGACTCTGGCACAGAAACCTCACCACAGGGCACAGCTAGAAAGCCACCTTAACCCAGCGCTGACCAGCACCCGCCAGCTGCCCGGAGCCGGCGGGTGGCCGCACCGCCAGTGTCATCCCCTGGGCTCCATTGCGACTAGAGCTTGTTTCTCCCGTGTTCCCGGGTTTGAGTCTGAGACACTCACTGCAGGTTTGATTTTTAAAGACGTCCACAAAAAAAGAATATCAAAAATGCACCATAGGCCAGGTGCAGTGGCTCACGCCTGTAATCCCAGCACTTTGGGAGGCCAAGGCAGGTGGATTACCTGAGGTCAGGAGTTCAAGACCAGCCTGACCGACATGGTGAAACACCAGGAACCTGCAGCCATCACAATATCTTTGCAGAGTAACCATGAGAAATTACCCGGAATAGTTTTCAGCAGCAGGTTCTCCATGTTGGAGAACCCAGCTCCACTCCAGCTCGGGCAGACCTTGGTGGGGGCACTGGAAGGCCAACACGGTGAAAAATACAAAAATTAGCCAGGCATGGTGGCATGTGCCTGTAGTCCCAGCTACTCAGGAGGCTGAGGCAGGAGGATTGTTTGAACCCTGGGGGCAGAAGTTGCAGTGAGCTGAGATCACACCACTGCACTCCAGAATGGGCGAGAGTGAGAAAAAAAACACCATCATAAACACCGTACTTTGTGAACTAAAGTCTGGTTGCCAGGGGCTTGCCAGAGCTGGGGATATCCAAGGGTTTGTGTCCTGCACCCCAGGCCAGACTCACCACTCCTGTATGTGTGCACAAACACACCCCATCATGCTAACATTCCCATGTTGTTACCATACACACATCAACCCCTCCAGCCCGACACAGCCCACCACAGCATAACCAGAGGTGTCCATTCACTAATTGTCCTGGTCAAAATCTATCCAGAGAAACTGCACACCTGCGATTCCCGAAACAACATCTCCAACGTACCAGGATGGGAGGCAGGAGGCCAAAAGGAGCGCACAGTCCCACCAGGTGCACAGACTCACCAGGCGCACAGAGCCCTGGCCACCAGGCACATTGCGCACCTGCGTCAGGGCTTTTAGGCCAGATGCCCACAAAGTTAGAAACCAGGTGAGCATCTGGGTGTATTCTATGAGTCTTATTAGGTTTTTTTTTGAGACAGAGTTTCGCTCTTGTTGCCCAGGCTGGAGCACAATGGCGCAATCTCGGCTCACTGCAACCTCTGCCTCCTGGGCCCAGGCAATTCTCCTGCCTCAGCCTCCTGAGTAGCTGGGATTACAGGCACACGCCACTACACCCAGCTAATTTTTTGTATCTTTAGGTCAGGGGGGGCAGATAGGCTGGGCCAGGCTAGGTGGCACCTGTGGTCTGTCTTTGGCCTGTCGCATGAGCTCTGCTGGGCTGCTGTAGCGGTTGCCACCTGCATGTGGGGAGCTGTTGGTAGTGTCAGGGGAGGGGAAGGGGTTCTGCTGAGGAGCCTGGGGAGTGGTGTCTCTCGGGTGGCCAGCCTGGTGATGGACACTTGGTGCCTCTTCTCTCACTGGCTCATAGTGCTCCTGGCTCTGCAGTGTAAGAGCCCCGCATGGCTGAGGGTCTATCCAGAAGTACTTGAGAAGGACAGACTGGAGTCCTGGAAAGCTGGCCTGGCCCCAAAGTGGGGTGGATGCTCTCCAACTCCAGATGTTTCCTCTGGTGTCCCAGGTGCCCCTTGCATGGATGGGGGCTGACCCCTGCATAAGCTGGGACTGGGCGGCCCTGTCCATGGAAGGCAGGGGTCAACCACCCCCAGGTGGCTGAAGGGGTCAGGCTGGGCCTGCCCTGCCGCCACCTCCATGGGGACTGCAAATGAGTAGCCCTGGATGGGGGAATCCCAAATGCTGCCCAAATGGTGGGTACCACATGGGTTGACACAGAAAGCAGGGTCTGAGGAGATCAAGGACCCCTGATCCTGACCACTGTGTGTGGAGGTCCAGGGCATAGATTCTTTGCAAAAATCCAGAACACCAGGGCGTGGTGGAGCCAGGTGTCCAGGAACATTTTCTCCTACAGAGAGAAAAGGTGTGTGGCTTGGCTGAAAACCCTCAGCAGGGCGGCTTGGGCTGGAGGCCGGGGGCAGTGGGCTGAGGTCAAAGGCTGGCTTCCGGCACATCTCAAAGTTCAAAGGCACTGCCTGGCTGTGCTGAGGCCACCACTGTGGGGGGCCTCGGAGGAGGTTCTGGAGTGTGGGGCCAGGGATAGGGGGGCCAGTGACAAGAAAATGCGGGGGATGTGCTTGAGGGTAGCTGGGCCCCAAGCCCATGTTTGGAGGTGGAGCTACTTCCGTGGCTAGTGGGCCTGAGGCCAGAGAAGATAGTGGCTTCGGGGTCTGCAGAGAAGTCATTCTGGCTGATGGGGACAAGTCCACATTCCCACTGTCATAAAAACGGGTCTCCTTCTCCCTGTGGAGTCCTCTTCCTTGGCTGGGTGGTGGCAGGTGGCAGTCCTGAGGTCCTGCAGGGTCCAAGTCAGCTCCCTGAAGCTTCTCTTTGCACAGATGCTGGCTGAGACTGGTGACACCCAGGTGCTGGAGAGTAGAGCAAAGATTGGGCTGTTCTTCCTTGCCCTTCTCCAGCAAGGTCTCAATGAGGGTCAGGAAGGAGCTGCCTTCCTCCTCCTCTTTCTTTTCCCTGTCTTCACATCTGTCGTCAGACCCCTGCCTCTCCAAGGGTGGGCCCTGGAGGGTGGGGGCAATGCAGGACAAGTACATGGATTCATCTTGCTGCATCATGGTTCCAAAGAGAGAGCTCGGGCATGAAGGGTCCTGGCCAGCTGGAAGACCCTTCCTAGCCCTGGCCCTCTTCCTGGCTGGGAGGGCAGTCAGGGTGCTCGGGAGGCTGCTCTCGTACAGGATGGCCTCCCCAGTAGTGAAAGTGAATGGCAGCTGCAGGTCACGCTTGCGCAGGTGCTCCTCACCCTCCAAGTTCCTGTGGTTAAGGAAACATAAGCCCACATCCAGGAACGGGTATGTGAATGAGGAAGGGGCAGGACATCATCTTTTCTGTCTTTTCCAGCCAAGGAAAAAAGAAAAGCAACAATAGCAAGTTCACTTGCTTTTCTCTTGCATTTTCTAGAGTACAATATTCTTCATAAATACTCTCTATCTTGCATTATGAAATAGTCTCAGATAAAACTGCTTACATGTGGGCTGAGTATTCCAAAATTCAATGTAGGAATTCCCTAAACTTCAAGTTTACTTTGAAAATAAATCATTACACAAAAATGACATATGAACCGCTTATCACTGGGTAGAATGATTTCTCCCCTCCTCCCTCCCTTCCAACAGACTCAAGGGACATGGCTATTATCAGGCTGCCCTGACAGTCACTAACACTGTGACTGTACTGTACCCAGTAAGGTATGGAACCTTCCTTCAGTGATCTGTCCCTGCTTGGAACTGCAAATTTTGTTTGAAGTCCCACAAAGGAAAACTAGCTGAATTAAGTCTGGCAGAAGCTGACCAGCATGATATGGACACAGGACACTCACTGGATGAACTTTTCAAGAAGCGGAAGCCCACTTCATACCTTTTGTTATACCCTTGTCTTTAAATTTGCATTGTCTCATGTTAGCATAGCTACTCTGGTGCTCCTGTGCTGTTTATATCTTATGCTTCTTTACTTAGGTACTTAGGTACTTTCAGTGTGCTAGTGCCATTATTTAAAAATGTTATAAGCAACAGAAAATGGACTAAGACATTCATCATTGCATTTCCCATTCTGACCATCCATTTTATACAGACATGCCACAAAGCCATATGGGGGCTGGGCCATGCAGGTTCACAGGCTGGAAGAGAACACTTTGTGGTCTGATATCCTGGCAATGTAAAAAGAATCGACAATGAAACGCTTTCTGCTGGTATGCACATCACAGTTCACACAGTAGGCTGCAGACGGACAAGACTTCAACATGAAACCTTGGTCTTCTGAAAGTTAATGGCAGACACTCTGCATCACCCAGGAAGTGTCACGGGAGCTGCTTTTAGCCTGCCCTGCCCTGAGATGAGCCTACAGAGTGAAAGCTTTGATGCCTTTCCTCTTAGAAGACCCCATGGCACAGAATTACACCAGAAGTGAGGAAAGTAGGCTGAAGGAATGCCATTTCTGAGGAGGCACACTGCTAGTGTAAACCAAAAAGTATATGAGACAGGTCTCAATTTAGAAGTTTATTTTGCCAAGGTTAAGGACATACACCTTGGAGACAAGTCTGTTCCCCAAAGATGATTTTGAGGGAGGCTGAGGCAGGTGGATCATGAAGTCAGGAGATGAGACCAGCCTGGCCAACACGGCGAAACCCCTTCTCTACTAAAATACAAAAATTAGCCGGGCGTGATGGCGTATGCCTGTAGTCCCAGCTACTTGGGAGGCTAAGGCAGGAGAATTGCTTGACCCCAGGAGGCAGAGGTTGCCGTGAGCCAAGATCGCGCCACTGCACTCCAGCATGGGCGACAGAGTGGGACTCCATCTCAAAAAACATTAATAATAATAATAAAAAGCCACAGACACTTTCTCCGGCGAGACTCGGCCTCAAAGGCTCTGCCCGCCAAGGCTGGACGAAGCCGACCTATTCTGCTGGCTCCGCACTGGGAAACGACGCACTCTCCCTAGTGTATAGTCGGCGAACCCGAGGCCCAGGAGGGGTTCAGCCTTCCCTCCAATGTCAAACAACTGGACAAGAGGAGCCCGGGGCCACCGGCTCAGGCCTGGAGGATACGGAGGGACTTCTGGGGTTGCGGCCTTGTGGGGTAGGGACACCGTGCTCGCCGCCATCAGCCCGCCTTCTGTCTGGCTCTCATTTCCGACCCTCAGGACAGGTCCGGGACCCGCAGCGTGGCCTGTGGGGCTTCACTTCCGTCTCGCCTCGATGACGCAGACGCCTGACCCTAACTTACCGACAGGCCCGAGAAGGCCCGGACCAACAGCGTGACCAGTGGGGCTTCACTTCCGTCTCGCCTTGATGACGCAGACGCCTGACCCTAACTTAACGACAGGCCCGAGAAGGCCGGGACCAACAGCGTGACCAGTGGGGCTTCACTTCCGTCTCGCCTTGATGACGCAGACGCCCGAACCTCCCTTACAACCGGGCCCAGGGATCCGCATGTACTACTGGGCCGTGGGACCTCAGTCGAGACCCGGCCCTTACAAGGCCACCCCCAGGGACTCCATTTCCGTTAGGCTGCGCCCCTAACACGCGGCCCCCCGCTTCTGCAGGGACGCCCTGACCACTTACGTGAGGGCCCTCTGTCTGGCGACGATGCATGCGGGCCGGCCGCCGCGGAACAGCAGGCGCGCGTTGGACTGCACCCACAGCCAGCCGGCCTGCTTGGTGAGCAGCCGGAACACCGTGAGCCCGCTCTCGCCCGTCCTCATCACTGCAGAAGAGAGAGGAGAGACGGGGCTCGTCCCGAGGCCGCCCGCCACCCCCTTCTCAGAGCCCTCAGGAGCCGCCCCGCGGGAGGAGCCCCGAGCGGGGTGCGAGGGTCAAGCCCGCCTCCCTCCGGGCAGCGTGAGGCCCCCAGGGCGCGTCTGGAACTCACTCCGCACGTGGTTCTCGGCGCAGTACATCATGTCTGCCGCGTGGATGAACTGGTAGCCGGATCCCCTCCTGCGGAGCTCGCTGTCAGTGTAGCCCAGAATCACCTTCCCTCTGTAGAGGAGACACCGCACGTCCTTATGTATCAGCGCGGAAGCGGAATGCCGGGAGGAATGAAGACTCACTGCCCTACCCCACACTTTGCACAGCTCCTCACAGTTCTCCTTTTGGACTTGAGCCAAGGAGGAATCAGCCTCCCCGCGCCTGGAAAACCAGGTCTGGGAGGGCAGCTCTCCCATCAGCAGGGCTGGGGCGAGACCTTTAAGGGGCCGCCACAGTGAAAAGGTAGTGGTGACCTCTCAGACCCTTCGGCCACACGTGCAGTTTCATAATTCTGCTTTAAGCCTGTTTTTATTTACCTGTGGTGTAGAGCAAGCGTTCCTGGCCTGTAGTCAAGGGAATCTCAAACTACTTGTGGGAGAACACGTGTTTTTAAGTATTCCACGGCTTTCATCAAATGGGGCACCATTATCGTAGCAGAAAAGATCAGGCTTACAAGTCATACTACTACATGCTACTTACTCTAAAGCCAGTGTTTTCTAGACTCCATTCTAAGAAACACTGGTATTGTTGCATGTTAGTTGGTATTTGCCCAAGAAGGCTTCCATTGTTAAGTAAGTTTGAAAAAAATGGACCAAACTAATTAGATTTCTTCCTAGTGGGTTCACTATGATCTGTTAATGGGAGTCTCCAAGAAGGAGATAAGTATTTCCCAAGATTGACTCTCCGTGTCACACTCTCACTCAAATGCTGTATCTTACATGGAAGATTTGGTACATTTTCTGTAAACACAGCGTATTTTCTACTGACTCATTTCACAGAACCCATTTGGACAGGATTGGCTAATTATTCGTGCCTTGCCTTTGGTTGTAGGCTTAGAATTTTGCCGTAACTAGTCTTGGAGCACTACTCCTAGGAGTCGTGTTTTCCAGTCAGAGGGATATACCTGGAATCACAGGCTATAGGTGTGAAATCCAATTTGTGTTTTGTTTGGAAAAGAAATGTTTTGTTTTGGAGCTCTAGGATGGTGAGAGGCTGACGAGGTGTTGCAGTGGCAAACAGGGTTAGCTGAGGAGACAAGAAGGTGCCGTCTTCTGACTTAGTGTTCTGCCCAGGGAGGAATTTGAGATGGCCCTGGAAATTCAATTCCTGGAAAAAGAAAACCACAAACGTAATGATCACAGAATACAAGAGGATGTTAAGTAGCTAAAACTGTATAAAGTTTTCCCCTTATGGAATTCAGGGGAGTCCAGTATCCTGCTGGGAGCCAAACAGGCAGAGCTCCCCTTGAAGCCCTCACATAGCACACGTGTGTGCAAACCTGGAACCTCATTCTTCTGGCCTGCCCAGCAGGTGCTCATCATTTTTCATGGCTCCTCAGCCCTCCCTCAGGGCTCTGACCCATGCAGCTCTTTTCCCAAAGCCGCAGGGCACAGTGTTAGTTAAGCTGTGAGGGGATATACAATTCCAGGTGATGGTGAAGAAGATGGATGTTAACATCCTGAATTCACTGGGAAGTCCCCAATATAGGGCTGTACCAGAGTTAACAGGTGTATTTGAATTTTAAGTAAATATATCCCAAGGGTTAATGAGGCAGAGGAAGTTTCAAAAGACAACTCAGTCTTCAACAGGCGTGACACTCTGAAATGTTAGTGAGCTGAAGCTCTGAGTACCATTTCTGGGGTAGTGAGGAGGCTTGGCCCAACCCTTGGACAGTGCTCCACCTGAGCAGACTTAAATGCTGGTTTTGCAAGTCCTGACCCTGTAAAGACACTATAATTACCAGAAACCCAGAATTGTCCAGCAGGCAGCGGAACCGACAGACAAAGCTTCTCTCCAGGTAGGAAGGGTCTTCCAAGGGCAGATGCTGCAAGCTGGCAGGAGGGGTGCCACTAAATGGGAGGGAACTTTCTCCAGGCAGCGCTGGAAAGACAGAGAGACACCCTGAGGAGACTCCACCAGTGCAGCCATTGTCACAGACGTGAAATACTAAAGTTATGGAAGCAGCTGGTGGGTAGAGAAAATGGGACGCAAGCCCTGAGGCCAAGTGAACTGTGTCCTTCACTTGGCAGGATGACTTGGATCAGCCACTCAGGCTGGCTTTCTCACACGTCATGTGATGCTAGCAGTCCCTCCTGCCTGCCTGCCTTCGCCATGTCATGAGGACCAAGATGAAAACGGGATGATGCACTGTAATATGTCTATCCATCCACTGCTTATCCTGTTGAGATATAACTACAGCCAACCACTTGTCATCACCTTCACCTCTACTGTGCTGATCAGTTTCCTTATTATGAGATGAGCTGAACATTATGGTGAACCTGGACCCAGACTGGAGCTTCACTTGTTTTGCAACTCTGATTAGGTTATTCAACCTCTCTATGGGCCTCGGTTTTCTCATCTGACTTAATAAGATTGCTAGGAGAATTAGACAACTTTACGTATGTAAAGCACTTGGAATAGTGCCTGGTGCACTGTAACCTCTATAAGACTTTGCTGTTATTATCTTTTTTTTCTCGCCTTAACCTTCTAACTGGTATCCCTGCTTCCACCCTTGCACCTTGCCATCTGTCCTTCACTCAGCTGACATAGTGACATTAAAATATGTCACATCATGTCATTTCTCTGTTTAGAACTCTCCAGTTACTTCCCACCTGAGAGTCTTCTTAGTGGCCTGAGATGCTCACCTGATGTTGATGTGCACCTCCCAACCCTGCAATCCCTTACCAGTCTTCCCTTCACTCCGTAACCTCCCTTCACTTCTTGCTATTCCACAGCTATTCCAGACAAGTCAGATTATATTTATACCTGCCTTAAGGGCTTTGCACTCTTGCTGTTCCTTCCACCTGCATTGCTCTCCCCCAGTTTATCCATATCTCTTTATTTTTAATTGATGAGTAAAATATGTATATGTTTATGGTGAATAACATTTTGATATATGTATACATTGTAGAATGACTAAATCAAGCTATTTAACATATGCATTACCTCGCATACTTATTTTTGTGGTTATCCATACTCTTCAAATGATAGTGTGTGTGTCCATCCTCTCTCCTTAATTTAGTTTCTTCCTGGCACTTCTCCACCAGAAATATTATTTATTCATGTCTTTATCTTTGGCCCTCTTACCCCACTGAAATTTAAGATCCATTGGAGTAGGAACTTGGTCTATTTTTCTCTCTACTGTGTGCCTAGAACACAGACTGGCACACAATAGATGCTCAGTAAACATTAAATGGAAGACTGAGCTAAGTGTGGTAGAGTGATAATTTTCTCATTCTCGTTTTCTAGAGTGAATGTCAGTTACTGCCCCTTCAGCAGGAAAAGAAAACATTAGGCATAGAAAAGTGACTGGATATTCTGTATTACCAGGAAAAAACACTTGTGTGGAGAATGCTACTTTGATCTTTTCTGGGGTGCTGATTCAGCCTCCTCTCTTTCCCATCCTAGGCATTTGTAGGGAAATCCTCTCAAGAGAGTAACAAGAGGAACATCAAATTCTTGGGTCTAAAAATAAAAGTCTCATCTCTGCCTCATTAGAAAGTCAAGGGTGCAAAACCCAAATCTATTGTTTTGACCTAATTCTAAGCCTGACAAATCGATTATATTTACACCTGTGGGTCTCTGTGTCACATAAAAATTTAATTTATCTAGACTCAAGTTTTGTGGAAGAATAAGATGAAAGCAAGCTTATAGTAGATTAGCAATCCTAAATGTTTTCATGGGAGGAATGAAGGGAAGGACTTGCTCAGTGTCTGATAAGTTTTACTACTGTTTCTGATTAATCTGATTTAATAAGGCCTCTAGCACAGTGCCTGGTATATGGTAGATGCTCAGAAATGTTGGAACATATAATTTACACATGTGCATAAAGTGTACATCAACTTGAATTTGGGTTAGATGGAGTGGTCCTTAGATGTTTTATGGCATATTTATAGCACTGTGATTAAAGTTTTATTGTATTTCGAGGACTTGTCATGCACACATAAACATGGAGTTAGACTACTGCAGAGTTTCTGCTACTGTGGCAGTGTAAGGGTATAAAAGGAATTTAAAATGTGGAATTATATGTAAAATTTCAGAGTATTCACTTTTAAAGATGCAATTCAAACTTGGTGGTGTCAGGATGTGCACAAAATCCTGCACATGCACATTGTGACATTCACAAATATATTTTGATTGTGATTTAAAATCCAGGAAACTCTTCTTAAATGGGGATGAAAATTCCAATCAATATTTAGGGGTAGAAATAAGAATGGAAGATTCCAGGGAAGTGAAATCAAGGATTATAATGGTACATTGTAAATTTACCTCAGGCTTGCTGCCTCAAAGTATGTTATATGCATATCTTACATATAAAATAAGGCATAAATAAAAGCGATAGTATTTCATACTTGACTTCAAAGTACTAGGAGTGAAGTGAGATAATTCAGAGGAATGTTGACCTCACTATTTTTTTAACAAACGCCAGAACTGCGGGGCATAGCTATTCAATTTATTCAACAAAAAACCTGTTATTACTAACAATGTTTAAAGTTTTACCAAATATTTAAGATTTATGTATGGAAATATGGTTGGTACATAAAGTTACTAGTTTCTTTGAGAAAGAAATGAATAAATATAAGGAACCACTGAGTTAGACACAGCAACAATGGAGGACCTAGTGAGAGGTGAAGATACTGGACTGTTGGCATTGTATCTTGGCCTTAGGCTACTTGGGTGGCAAAGATCCCACTCTACTCCAATGCTTTGTTTCTAGAGCTCTGACACAGAGGTGCTGGAGTGGGTGCCCACTCTACTCCCACAGCCCAGGCTGAACTTCAGATCTCTGTTCCTGCCCCTCTGACCCCTGGCCAATGTGGACATGGTGGGGCACAGAATGAATCATCACACAGAGGCGCAAAGCTCAATGCTGAGGCTACGGATCCTGACTGACTTCAAGGAGCTGAAAATCTGATGAGGGGTGGCAAGGAAGAAAGTAAGATCTATTTTGTGAAAAGTAACCGCCCAGCTGACCTTAGGCTGGCTGAGAGAGGTTTGTGTGGAATGTCTGGAGAGGAAGCAGCTTTGGAGAAAGATGGATTAAAATTTTCACAGTAGCCAAAGTGGATCTGAATTAAAGGCAAGTCTCCCAAAGTCACACAACTATACTTTATAGTGAGCCTTTAGGTTTATTTTTGTTTAATATTTTAGACTCCCTACCATGAAAAGGATATTATTAGTGTGCAAATACTGGCCTATGGCTTCATTATTTTTCTTGGTCAAACCTGCAGGTGTGAGTATTCTTTTCTGATCATCATTCACAACAAAACAGTGAAGAGCCTTTCCTTCCATCCTGTGTGGGTGCATAAAATGCACTCTAAATCCCTGGAGAAGGGACCTGTGTCTGGGCTTACAAAATGGTATTTACCCGTAAATGACAATATTGCTTATTGGTGAGTGTCTATGGTTTCCCACCAGCCAACAGAGTAACACACATCTAGGTCATAATGGCCCACCAACCTATGTGCTCATCAGATGCACAGCTGTGAGCCTCTTGGCCACCTGAACATGGTTTAGGGGATGCAGGGCATTTCCTCCAGTGTGAGTTCTGCCAGATGGACCCATATGGACAGCTTCAGTCTCCTCATCTGCACATTCATTTATTCAAGCAACTAATATTTACTGAGTGCTCACTGTGTGTCAGGTACTCTTCTAGGCACTGAGGATATGCCAGTAAACAAGATAGTCAAGAATCCCTTCCTGCATCTTATTGCTAGTAAAAACAACAGAAATTCATGCCACATGTATGTTTTCCAGTTATTAGAGGATCAGATGAGTTCAGAGATGTGAGAGGGTTCTAAAAGATGCAGAGTCCTGTGTCAGCACATGCCACTTCGTTCCTGATACATCTCGTCATCAAGTACAGAGAACTGAACCAGTGCTGTTATGCTTTCTGAAACTGAGAATGTCCAGCTCCCTAATCTAATTTCCTTCTCATGGACTTCACGGGTCGAAACACAGGTACAGGGTTGATTTTACGTCCCACCACTTTTTCCTCTGAGCTGGTGACTTACGGCTGGTGTCCGAATCTGCCTCTCTGCTGACTGGCGCTGTGTCTGGAGGCCAGCGTAACTGGCTCTGGAACATGGCTCTGTCCTCCTTGTGGATCAGCTCGAACACACTCTGATAGATGACATCTGACTACAAAGACCAAGGGGCAGAGTCACACTCCCAAAGTTTTCTATCTTCCCAAGGCCAGCATGTGACCCATTTACTTCAGATGTCCCTGAGTCTATCCAGCCCCTCTGATACCCTCCCCAAAAACTGTGTATCCTTGTCCCCCCAGTCCTCAGGGCTAGCCGGTGCTCTCTGCTCCTGCTTCCTCTTCTGGTCTTGTATAGCCCATTTTCTCAGGCTGCTGCTCTCCCCAGACCCAGAACATAATATATGAGGCAGGCATCCTATGGTTTTTGGAAATCATGCCTGTACTTTATGGTGAAAAGGATGGCAGTTCTTGGGGGCAGTGGAAGGACCTGTCCCCCAAGAACTTTGTGACTGTACAGGAGATAAGTAACAAAGAAGTAGCCAGGAGTTGCCTGAGATGGGGACACCCATGGGAAGGGACTAATGGCCCTTGAAAGTTGGCTTGAAGTTCTATGGAAGAAGAATGTGGAGTTTCAATGGAAGTCAGTCATCAGGTCTTCTGGGTAGCTGATATGGTTTGGCTCTGGGTAACACGGTGCTACTTGTCTATTTTTGTTTTTGTTGCCTGTGCTTTTGAGGTCTTAGCCATAAAAACTTTGCTTAGATCAGTGTCCTGAAGCACTTCCTCTATGTTTTCTTCTAGTAGTTTTATAGTTTTAGGTCATACATTTAAGTCTTTAATCCATTTGAGTTGATTTTTGTATATAGTAAGAGATAATGGTCTAGTTTCATTTTTCTGCATATGAATATCCAGTTTTCCCAGCATGATTTATTGAAGAGGGTATCCTTTCACCAATGTGTTCTTGGCATCTTTGTTGAGTTTTACAGTTTCTAATGTTTATCTTGTTATTGATTTCTAGTTTAATTCCATTGTGGTCTGAGAAAATACTTGATATAATTTTGCTTTTTAAAAGTTTGTTGAAATTTATTTTGTGGCCTAGAATGTGGTGTATCCTGGAGAGTGTTCCATGTGCTAATGAGAAGAATCTGCATACTACAGCTCTTGGATGAAATGTTCTGTAAATGTCTCTTAGGTCCATTTGATTGATGTATAGTGTAGCTTGAGTCGGACGTTTCTCTGTTCATTTTGTTTCTCGACGATCTGCCCCGTGCTGAAAGTGGGATGTTCAAATCCCCAATGACTATTGTACTGGGGTCTGTCTCTTTTTATCTCTAACATTTGCTTTATATATTTGTGTGCTCTGGTGTTTGGTGTAATTGTTACTTCCTCTTGTTGAATTGCTCACTTTATCATTAAATAATGACTTTCTTATCTATTTTTGTGTTTTTGATTTAAAGTCTATTTTATCCTGTGTAAATATAGATACTCCTGCATGCTCTTGGTTTCCATTTGTGTATCATATCTTTTTCCATCTTTTCACTTTCAGTCTGTGTGTGCCTTTACAGAAGAAGTGCATTTCTTGTAACCAGCTTATAGTCATGTCTTTTTTTAAAAAAATCCATTCAGCCAGTCTTTATCTTTTAATAGGGGAGTTTAAGGTATTTACATTTGAGATTGTTATTGATGGGTAAGGACTTACTCCTGTCATTTATTAAATGTTTTCTGATTGTTTTGTAACATTTTGTTCTTTTCTTCCTCTCTTACTGTTTATCTTTTTGATTTTGTGTTTTTATGTAGTGACATATTTGATTATTTTTCTCATTTGTGTATCTGCTTTACCAGTGAATTTTATACTTCTGCATGCTTTCACAATAGTAGATATCTTTTTGCTTCCAGATGTAGGAATCTCTTAAATTATTTCTTGTAGAACTCGGCTATGGTTGATGAATTTCCCCAAATTTTGTTTACCTGGGAAATACTTTTTTTCCCTTCATTTCTAAAGGATAGCTTTGTGGGGTACAGTATCCCTTCTGGCAGGTATTTTCTTTGTTAAATATATCATCTCATTTTCTCCTGGCCTACAAGATTTCTGCTGAGACATCTGCTGTCAGTCATGGGATTCCATTTCACCTGACCTGATGTTTTTCTCTTGCTGATTTTAGAATTCGCTATTTGTCTTTTACTTTTGACAGTTTGACAAATGTTCCTCAGAGGGCACTTCTTTGGGTTGAATATTTAAGGAACTTTGAGCTTCCTGTATCTGGATGTCTATTTCTCCCTGAAACCTGGAAAGTTTTCAGCTATTATTTTATTAAATAGGTTTCCCATTTCTTCCCCTTCTGCAACTTCCAAAATGTGAATATGTGTTTGCTTGATGGTATCCCATATGTCATGTAGGCCTTCTTCATTCTTTTTTATTTTTCTTCTTTCTTTTGTCTGGGTTATTCCAAAAGACCTGTCATCAAATTCAGAAATTCCTTCTTTTTGATCTAGTCTATTGTTGAAGCTTTCAATTATTTATATGTATACACACACACACACACACACACACATATATAATTTTAGATGAAGTCTAACTTACTCTGTCCCCCAGGCTGGCATGCAGTGGCACAATCTTGGCTCATTGCAACCTCAGCCTCCTGCATTAAAGTGATTCTCCTGCCTCAGCCTCCTGAGTAGCTGGGATTACAGGTGTCTGCCTCCACACCTAGCTAATTTTTGTGTTTTTTAGTAGAGAGAAAGTTTCACCATGTTGGCCAGGCTGGTCTCAAACTCCTAACCTCAAGTGATCTACCCACCCTGGCCTACCAAAGTGCTGGGATTACAGGTGTGAGCCACTGTGCCTGGCCTTCAGTTGTATTTTTTATTCCATTCATTGAATTCTTCAGTTCCAGAATTTCTGTCTGGTTCTTTGTAAATGATATCTATCTTTTTGTTGAATTTTTCATTCAGGTCACAAATTTTTTTCCTGACTTCTTTGTTTTGTCTGTGTTTTTTTGAATCTCACTGAGTTTCTTTAAGATCATTATTTTGAAATCCATTTTAGACATTTCTAAATTTACTTTTCTTCAGGCTCTGTTACTGGAGAATAATTGTGTGTCTTTAGAGGGGTTATGTTTTCTTGCTTTTTAATGCGTCTTGTGTCCCTACATCGATATCTGCACATCTGGTATAACAGGTACTTCTTCCAATTTTATGGAGTAGCTTGGGGAAGACTTTTTTCTGTAGATGTAACTGTATTATCCTTTGGGTAGGATGCATTGGCTTTGGTTCTGGTTGGGCATGGTAGCATAGTCTCTATATTTCTTTGGCTGCAATCAGTGTCAGTGGTGTCTATGATTTCCTCAGTGGCTTACAATGTGGTTATTTCTCAAGGCTGTGGCAAGGCTTTACTGGTGGTGGGGATGCTGGTGGACTAGACCTCTGGGTCCTGGTGGGCACTGGTGGTGGTAGTGGTCAACTTTGGGCAGGCTACTCCTTGGGCTCCTGGGTGATGAGTGCAGGCACATGGCAGCTCCACTGCTGGAGTGGACAGGATTGCTGGTGATGGTGGGCCCTGAGCAGGTTGGTCCTCAGGCCCCCAGTAACCCATGTGGACACCAGCTGTGGTGGCAGCTGGACCCAAGCAGGCTAGTCCTTGGTCCCTATGCTGTTGCACAAGCATTGGCCATGGCAGCAGTGAGCCCCAGAAGGGGTGGTCCTTGAGCCCCAGATAGTGTGAATGGGGAGCTGGTGGTGGCAGTGGTGGGCCTGGATGAGTCAGTTCTTGGGTCCTGTGGTGGCCCATACTGACACCAGTGGTTGTGACAGCAGGCCCTAGGTGGTCTAGTCCCAGCCTCTAGGTAGTATGCATGGGTGTGCAGAAGGCCCACTGTTGGACATTGTGGGATGGCTGCTGGTGGCAGCAGCCCTGAGCACATGGCTCCAAGGCTTTGGGGACTGCCTTCTTTGGCTCTGTATGAACCGAGAGTTCCTGATGTGCTGAACTGCCTGTTCCCCAGTTTGTAGGGTGCTGATGGGTTCAGGTGCCAGGGATGTGCCCACCTCTGCATCCAGCTAGTATTGCAACACTGCAGCTCTCTGGGTGGGTACAGGGGCGTGTTAGTGGGGCGCCAGTGATGTGGAGATACAGAGGCTACTGGGCCCCAGGGCAGGATATGGTCTGGTAGTGTCTCTACTCTCAAAATGGTGCTGGGTTACAGCAGCTTGGGTTTTAGGGGTAGGTGAGACCTAGCATGAACTTCCTCTCTGGAATGATGCTGTTGTGTAGACTCCAGGCAGCTCCCTATACTAGGCCAAGGGCCCATGAGGGTTGAGGGGCTCTCCGGTAGCTAGGATTGCCAATATCTGTGGTGGGAATGAAGGCTGCTAGGGATCTCCTGCTAACCTTTTCCTGGCAAGGGAGAATCCCTCCTTGGTCTGAGCCCATCTGAGCTGGCTGCTTTGCTTCCCTCTCCATGCTGCTGTTTTGAGTTTCTGTGCCTCAGAGGGTCACTGTCACTTTCCTGCTGAATTCCATTATTCTACCTTAGGTATTCTATTCAGTATGTGGTTATCTGCCTGCTGTTTTGATCCTTCTTTGTGGAGGAGGTGAGTGCTGAGTGCCTCTAGTCCGCCACCTTGATGTCTCTTACTGCTACAGCGTTTTAGAAATCCTTTCCATTGCATGGCGTTCCTGGTGTATGCGGTGCTTGCATATGCATTGCTGTAATTCAGTCTGCACAACAGGACTGTCAGGTATGGAATATGTTCTCTCAGTGGAGGTGGTTAAAATGCAGATCTCCAGCTGCTGGGAGTATAACTAAGTCACGCCTTTCAGAGCGTACAGGGTGCTGCACATTTCAGAGTGCAGCAGTGTTTCAGCTGCTGCACTGAAATGCATTATGGCTGTGGCTTTAAGGCAAGTATGGTCCTGGGAGACACAGGACTTCTCTGATGGGAACCTTGGCTTGAGGGCTCCCTCTGGCCTTGTCAAACTTCCTCAGAGCTGTACTGCAGTCTAAGACTTTCCCATTTAACCTTCCTCTTCCATCCCTCCTTCTTTCACAAGGGCCACATCTGAATTTCTCAGGGCTCAGGATTTCACACCCTAGTAAAGACCCCAGAAAATGGGGCAAACTCACTGCTGGGGTGGCTGCTAGAATTCTGGGAAAACCCAATGGTCAGCAACCTGCTAGTACCTGAGTTGTCCTGGTGGCAGAGGAAGCAATAAAGGGGTGTGGGAAAGGTGTGTGCTGGAATAAGTGCATCTTGTGATTCCAGAAGACCCACCAGAAATTATGTTTCATGGGAGGGCCCAGGAGCCAAACCACTCTCCAAGGCCATCAGGAGTGCACTAGGGGAAGGACACCAGCGTCACTGTGAAGTCTGCTGGCAGGCAGCTCTTCTATGGAGGTCAGCACTATTGGTAGGAGAAGAAGCCACAGAGTTGGGCTCATTAATATCCATAGCGATAATGGAGCCCTAAAGTAATAGAGGCCAGGTGGTGGCACTCATTCAGCAGAAGCCAGCAGGCTGCAATTACAGTGACAACTGGCAAGGCTGAGGCACACGCAGCCAAGAGGCTTGGCCCATAGGGAGTGGTGGAGGTGGTTAACGGAGTGTGGTGTCCCTGGGGGTGAATAGATGACAGCCAGCAATGATGCTGCTTAAGAGAAAAAGGGCCAGCATGGATGTTAGAAGGCTGAGGGCTTTTGCCTCAATGAAAGGTGGAAATCCTTTGCTCAGTTTTACAATTTCCAGCCTGTAATTCACTGACTGAAGAGGTGGCTGGGTCCCTAGGAGTAAGAGCACTGGAATACCATGGCAAGACATTCACTCAGGTGACCACAACTTCCATCCAACAGATGAAAATATCTGGATGTTCTCCTTCCCCCCACTGTACGGTCACCTGAGTAATGTCTGAAGGTGCACTTAGGGAATCCCCAGGTACACAGCTGCCACTGTAGTGACTCAGCCTATGGCCCATCTGGGGCAGCCAGTGATGGAGGTGGGCTTGTGCCACACGGCCCAGTCATCCTGCCTGCTTGGCTGTGCACCTTTTCTACAGGGGGTTCTTTTGGTGGACACCGATGAATGAAACAAATATCTTCACCCTTGGCACCCACGTCCACTGAAGCGACATGCCTTATTTCAGACATCCTTGTCTCTAATCTTCCTGCTTTTCCCTTCCAGGCCCTGACATGACAGACAGACCACTGGCCACTGCTGAAGAATCTAGACACATCTGCACTGTGGTGCACATCTCCCTCCACGAGGTTGATGGCCAGGTGCTCTGCTCTCACCTCTCCCCCTTCAAAGCTGGCAGCCTTCATTCACTTTGGAGGGAACCTGACCACTGGACCCTGAAGAACTTCCCTCAAGTGCAGCTGTCTGCATTTTAAGGGCTCACTCATCTCCCTTCCGTTGGGGCACCTGTGTCTTGAGGCCTGGCCTCCCTAACCTCCTTGCTCCTCCTGCCCAATCTGCATGTTGTTGTCACTGTAAGTGACCAGTGTCACATCCCATGTGATGTCCAGGTCTCTTCAAATTGTGTTAGGACACAGGGGAAGGGTTAACATGGCCTTGAAGCAAATGTTTAAATGAATATTTTCTGTCCCACATGAACATGTTTTTTTCTGATCTCTTTTTTTGAAACTGTAATGGGAAAGAAGACATTTGCCAAATCTCTGGCCACATACCAAGCACCTGAGGGCCCATTAATCTGCTCAAGCAGTTATACTGTGCTCTGCTCACTGCTGAACTCAGGCCCACGGCTTGGTGACATCTGAGCAGTCTACAGTAATTCCTGGAAACCATCAATTCCTTTAGGGCCCACACAGGGGAATCCAATGGAGACACGAGGGGACCAGCAACTCTGTGTTGCTTAGGCTTTCATGATGTCACTACTTTCTGCCACCTCCCTGGGATATGACTTACTATCGTGGCTTCAGAGATTCCCCTGGGCCTTATCCACCATGATGCTTCTCATTCCACAGGCCAAGGACCCAGTCAGGAAGTCAGTCCAACTACCAATCAGCTACGTCAGCCTCAACGATCAGCACAGGGAACAGGTGAGTTCCCGCTGGGTGGGTCCAGACCATAGCTGGACGGTAGCTGGCACTTGATCAGCCCCCACCCTGTGTGAAGGCCACAATCACACCTTGGATCTCTGGGCTCAGCCCACAGGATTGAAGATTTGGGTCACACCCAGGGGAGCCATCAGCATATGCTGAGGTGAGGCTGAGGGCAGGTGGGTTCAGAACAGGGGTTGGGGACGGAAAGGCTGCTCCCCTGAGATCGGCTACACCGACTGGGGACTGCAGTTTGCCCTACTCAACTCTCCCTTTTGAGCTTCCCTCAGGAAGAGAGACTCACAGGAACCAAGGAGGGAGGAGCTGCTCCCCACCACATGGGGAACTTGCTCTGTGCAGCAGCTGGGGGAGTGTGGCAGCCGTGGAAATGTGCCCCTGGGCTCTGACTGAGGGGCTCGTGCCTGCTGCACCTCATGGCTCCACCACTGTGTTCAGGTGTCCCTAGCCAGTGACTGAGTGTAGCAGGGACACCAAGGCAGGCCTGTTCCGAGGGGACTCTGAACGCCTCTGACGGGTGATTCTGGATTAAGAACTTCCCATCAGCCTTGCTGAATTCTCTTAGAACTTTAAGCCACAAACGTTTGTCCTCTGTCTCCTGCCCAAGGGTCAGACCTGCGTGGAAGCGTGGCAGCTCCCTTGCCCACAGCTGCCTCTCCGTGTTTCTCAGAGGATTCTCCCTGAGGAGTCCTGCGTGACATCTGCTTCTTAATGGACCGGGCCTAACACATCCTCCAACAGGTGAGGAAGCCAACGTGTCAGGAAGGTTCATTTTAAAGACACAGAGTACGTGTGGGAGGGACTGGGACTTCCATCATAGCCCCTCAGAGACCAGGCTGCATGTGGCCCTGTCCCACCCCTGACTCACTCACTTCCCTGAAATGAAACAAAACTGCTCACCTGATGAAATCCCAGATAGTCCTGGACTGTGGGAGAGACGTAAAAGATGTAGCCATCCTCTGTGACTGCCATGAGGAAGCCGTTGAGGGCCTGGGGAGAGGCGGAGAAGAGAGTCGTTCAGACTGGGTTGTTAATTAGTCTCGCTTCTGGCCCGGGCCCAGGCCCTGGGTGTTTCTGTGAAACTACTCTGGCATCAACTGCCACCACACCCTGGGCTGTCCCTTCCAAAAGCAGGGCCCAGGGCACCCAGCTCGTCTGCTTTCTCACTGAGCTCAGCTCAAATGGAGCCCACACTGGCTCCCAAGAAGAGGCGTGTGTGTGTGTGTGTGTGTCCCCGAGGCCACAAAGTAGAGCCGAGTTCCAACTTCCTGTAACGTCAGTCTAATGAGAACACCGTAAACTGAAAAATTAAGAAAACAAACATGTATCTGTACTGTCTCTTCTCTCTCCCTCAATACAAAGTGTATACATTACATATGTGCACACACACACCTTCATCCCAGGAGGAAGATCAGAAGACATTTGGGGATTTTAAAACCCAGAAGAAGAGGACTCACTGTGTTGTTACGGTTTTTCTCATGTGTCTCTGTCGTAGTCCCACCCCCAGGGTTTAGCCTGTTTGCTGGCAACACCAAAGGCAGGGAGCCCTCGTCTGTGAGGAGACAGACACAGCAGGCCCATGCTCTCCACTGGCTGAGGCTGCACACGGGGCTCACCTGGACAGGGCCACCGAAATCATGCTCACTCCTCCTCCCCTCTGGGAGCCACACAGTAGAAACTAGGAATATAAATTTTTAACCGTTTCTTCAAGAAATCCTGAGAAGGATGCAGCCTTAGGACAAAAAAGTCTTTTGGTTGAGGTGAGTTTTAATTTTGAACCTTCAATTGAAAACAGTTTTCTACATTCTTTCAAGGAAATGTATCTTAAAGCCACTAATCACTCTCTTCCTCAATATTTCCAAGAAAAAATGACAAATACTTGCTCATTAGGAAAGTTTTCACTCAGTGAATATTTTGAACAAACATGTTGCTAAGTCTTAGCCTGAAACCAACTTCAGGTAAAGCATATCCCATGGCCTTTAGGAGAAGAGGATTTTCAAGGGAGACAGACTGTGCAGGGAGCAGGGTTGAGAGGGTGGTTCAGCTTGGAAGGAACAGGGTGCTCCCAGCGTGGGGTGAGGTGTGGGGGATGCACCAGTTTAGGGTGTTGATCACACAAAAAGGTGTAAAGGTGCTGTGCGTGGTGGCTCACACCTGTAATCCCAGCACTTTGGGAAGCCAAGGCTGGCAATCACCTGAGATCGGGAAGTCGAGACCAGCTTGACCAACACGGAGAAACCCCGTCTCTACTAAAAATACAAAATGAGCTGGGCATGGTGGTGCATATCTGTATCCATATCTGCATCTATGGTGGCACACAGCTGTAATCCCAGCTACTCAGGTGGCCTTTGCAAAGATTTCATGACAAGGACACCAAAAGCAATCGCAACAAAAATGAAAACTGACAAATGGGACCTAATTAAACTAAAGAGCTTCTGCAGAGAAAAAACAAAAACAAAAATCTATCAACAGAGTGAACAGACAAACTCCTACAGAATAGGAGAAAATATGTGCACACTATGCATCCAAGAAAGGCCTGATATCCAAAATCTAAGAAGTGTAAACAAATTAACAAGCGAAAATCAAATAACGCAGTTAAAAAGTAGGTAAAGGACAAGAACAGACACTTCTCAGAAGAAGAATCTATGTGGCCAACAAACAAATGAAAAAACTGCTCAACATCACTAATCCCTAGAGAAATACGGATCAAAACCAGAGATACTATCTCACGCCAGTCAGAATGGCTATTATTTAAAAAGTCAAAATGTTACAATTGCTAATTTTTATTTTTATTTTGTAGAGCTGAGGTTTTGCCACATTGCCCAGGTTGGTCTTGAACTCCTGGACTCAAGCAATCTGCTGCCTCCGCCCAAAGTACTGGGATTGTTAGCCACTGTGCCTGGCCTCCATATCATTATTACAACCAAACAAATAGAACATCAATGATTATTCTATTTGGATTGCAAATCATTCCTATTTTTACTGTTTTTAAAATTCCTTTATACTCTATGTCTGTTCTTCATTCATAATTTCTGTATCCAGTGTATTTTTAGATAAATAGAATAAATTTCATTTGGTTTTAAATCCCAAATATCTGAATGTGTTTCCAGAAAATGAAGTTGAATTATTTCTTTATCAATTGAAACAAGATTTTTGTCTTTAGTAATTGAAACTAATTCTTGTTGACAGACACTTAGGAAACTAAATATGAAGCTGTGATGGTTATTTTATGTGAAAACTTGGTTAGACTTGATGCTCACATGTTTGATCAAATACCAGTCTATATGCTTCTGCAAAGGTACTTTTCGACTGACCATCTGTTTTCTATAACAAAATGCCTAAGACTGGGCAATTTATAAATAATATAAATTTACTTGTCATAGTTGTCAAGGCAGAGGAGTCAAGATCAAAGCACTGGCAGGTTTAGTGTCTGGCGAGGGCCCCATTCCCTGCTGCCGAAATGATGCCTTGTTGCTGCAGCCTCCACAGGGTACTAATGTTGGGTATTCATACGGCAGAAGGCAAAGGGGCCTAAGCCTGCTCCCACATCCCTTTATAAGGCACCGCTCCATTCACAAGGGCAGAACTCTCATGACTTAATCTCTTGAATTCAATTTCAAGAGATTTTGTTGTGTTAAATATCTATTTTAAAGGAGAAATACAAAACATTTCAAACGCACAAAATGTGAAGAGAACAATATAACCTATGCTCAGATACCTGGTCTTAACACGTGCGAACACTTGGACAGGGACTTTGTAGCAGATCTCTTTTGAGTTTTACGAAAGATTTGAAGCATTAAAAATGCAGTTCCCTCAGCTTGTGGTCGGGCACATGAAACTACAGACTTTGAAGGCAGAGTGTGCTGAGATTGAACCCACAGCCAGAGAAGAGCCTAATGATTTGCCAACATTTTACCAGACAAATGAAGACAACGTGATCTTTCATGCCACCTTCTCTTACCCAAAGAGACCGACCTGCTACTAATCATAATTCTTGAGGAAGTTCACAGGCAATGACCCATCACCCAGTGGTTATGTGTGTTCTTTGCAGGCTGTCTTTTAAGGTTTCATACTTCCGGTGTGTGAGGTAAAAATCTGCCATATTTATGACACCCAGAATGTAGATCCCTTGCTGAGGTAACAGCAATATATTATTATATAGATAGAAAATTAAAGGGGAAGAAATGTTTAAAATGCTCAGAGTGGTAAAAATGAAATATGATATGGTAATTTTTCATCTCCACACCATTTTTCCTCTGTACAGTTGTTTAGTGACTCAGGACACGATGGCTTACAGCCTGGTTTTCACATATATTCCTACATCTGAGTCTCACAGTCCCTGAGGCATATAAAGAAGATGGAGTATCACTTTTTTGGGAGGGACTGGTGACTGCCACTCTACTAGCAGGTGACCATTAGGGACTGATGTCTAGAGTTTCTGACTCTTCCTACCCCATGTGTGGTTCCCACCCACATGGTACCATGAGTAAAGAATTGTCCAAAAATGGGAAATTAGATATAGAATACTCTATTCAACCAGAAATTTGACATGATAATTAAAGATATATTCGGCAAAAGTTGAAACAAAATATTTTCTGGAAAACTCTGAGGCCTGATTCTGCTATAGCTGTTACCACTGACATGGATTAGAACTGATCAATATTGTACAGTACCTGAAGCAGCAAGTCCCCTTCAGAAAACAGATCTACACTGATTTGTGGAAAGGTCTGTTCACTGCTTCCTGGGTTCATGGGTGAGTCAGTGGAGCAGCCTGCATTGCTGTCCTTTAGGGCGGCTGAGAAAGAAAAAAGGTAATTATGAACATGTGCCATCTCACATGGATGAAAAGGAGAATCCAGGTGACCCTGGTTTTCAGCTTCAGGATAGTAAGTGTCACTCTGTGTACTGGCACCTTGAGTTCTTCCAAGGTTCCGGTAGGAGTGGTGACATCTGACTGAACACTTACCTCCTCTAGCTGGGAAAAGAGCCCCATTTTAACTTTTGTCTGAGTTGTTCTTACTGTGGCTTCTCTGCAGGCAAAGTATTAATTAAGTTCAAATACTGCTTCCTCTGAGAGGCCCTTACTATTTCTCCTGAGGAAAATTTGTTGTGCTTCCCTCTACCCCCTTAGCATTGAAGTCGCTGCCATTAAAGAGTAATTTGGTTTCGGACGATTTCATTCTTGCCTTATCTGTCAGATCAGGTATAAATGCATAACATGACCTGTTACAAAAAATTGCAGATCCAGACCGTTACCTGCTTCACCACCTCTACCACTACCATGCAGGTCTGAGACAACAGCAACTCTTGCTGGCCTTCCTACTTCTACTTTTGCCCCATGTAATCAGTTCTCTGAACAGAAGTGTGCACGACATTTCTGAAAAATTATATGACATATGACATCAGCCTTCTGCTCCAGTGGCTTCACATATGCACAAAACCCTCCAATGGCCTCATATACACACAAAATCTTATGTCCTGACCATGACCATTAGTTAAGATCCATTTTGATTTTTTGTAACTAAAATTCCTCAAATAACAATAGCTTAAAAGATAAAAGTGTATCTCATGCACATACAGTATCAGAATATTGCAGTCAGGGATTTGTTCAGCCCTGTCCCGTAAGGTTCCAGGGGACCAGCTTCTTGGAGCTCACTCTCTGCCTTCCTGGACTCAGCCTCAAGGCCTTACCCCTTCTGTTCTTAGGAGGAGGGATCTGCAGAAGCGTGGCCCCTTCTCTCTTGCGGAAGCTGCCACCCAACTCCTTTGCTTATAGCCTGTTGGTCAGAACCCTGTCACATGACCACACTGGTGCAAGAAAGCCTAGGAGGCTGGCCTTTTCCTGATGGCCACGTTTTCTCCTGAAACTGTACGGCTCCCACCAACCTGGCCATGTCAGCCACGTGGCCTCCTCCTGAGTCCTAGCCATTTCCCAGAAAAGACAGGCCCTTCTTGTTCTGTGCTAGGAACTCTGCAAGTGTTGTTTTCTCTGCCTAGAAGTCCCCTCTTGCCATTTTTCACATGGCTTCCCTGTCACTTCCTTGCTGCTCAGAATGGCCTCATCAGCAGCGTCTACAGCTCTCACCTCTTGCTCTATTTTGGCCCCTCAGAGGCTTTACCTGATTCTATATTGCACACTTGTCTACTGACGCAGGGGCTGTGTCTTCCACTTGAATGTAACAATTCTGCTGACAAGGCTTTTGTTTCCTCCTGTGTCTCCAGCACCTGAAGCAAAGCCAAGTGCCTAGCAACGTTTAGCAAAGGCAGCGATGCAGATAGGCAGGTGCGCCTGCTGGACCTTCCTTGAGATGCTGCCTAGGGCCGGGCTCATCATCACATTTGTACATGAGCAAGTCAACAGGGCTTTGGTTGTGGGGTCACAGACACAGGACAGACAAGGGAAGGAGGAGCTCATTAAACAAGGTCAGGGGCCCTGGGCCCTTAAGCAGGCATCCAGTTTCCCCATTCTCATCCTCTGATCCATAATCTAGGGAATTCCAAACTCTATTTCTGTGTATCTGTAGAAATGAAGGAAAAGTGGCCCCACAGATGCTCACAGTTCTGTTCTACACACAAATCATCCCTAGAGGCTTCTGGCAGGGAGCCTGAAAAATAAGCCAAGGAGGCTTTGCCTTTTCACATTTGTAAATGTTATTGTTAAGCATGAATAAGTTTGAATAAGACTGAAGAATATTTAGCTGGGTAAACAAAATTTATCACTAATAAAGAAATAATTGTGTAGTTTACCTGACAGTGAATCACTTTCCAGTGCACACTCTGGGAAAAAGCACCCACAAAATTATCAACGATAGTGGTGGATCTATTTTCTTCTAAGTTGAAGATTAAAAAACAAGAAAGCTCATTTAAAAAATATCTTATTTAACCATAATGTGCATAATTTGGGGATAAGATGTTCAGCATGAAAAAGAAGCCTGCATAGCTGACGTTTTCCTCTAATCAAGTCCTCAGTGAAACAAAAAATGCAAAAGTCATTATGGAAAGCTGGTGGCAAAGACGCACCAGTAAACTTGTTAAAAATCACTGAGAAGAGGCACTTTCTTGTTAACTCAGCAGTGAGGTGCCAAGCATGGCATTGGGGCAGCACCCTCCTTGTGGCAGGCAGGGCCAAGGGCACAGGTGCCCACCACCATGCTGAGCTAATTTCTAGTAGAATTAGGGTTTTACCATGTTAGCCAGGATGGTCTCAATCTCTTGACCTTGTGATCCGCCTGTCTCGGTCTCCCAAAGTGCTGGGATTATAGGTGTGAGCCACTGCGCCTGGCCAATGAATGTGTATTTTAACAATTGAGGTGGAATTCACATACGAGCGACCATTTTAGAGTAAACAATTCAGTGGCATTTAGCACATTCACAGTGCTGTGCAAACACCACCTCTTTCCAGTTCCAAAACACCATCCTCACCCCAGGTAAAACCTTACTCACTCCTTCCCCACAACCTGAGGCCACCTGGAGTGTGCTTGTTCCGTGCAGGACATTCCATGCTGTTGCTGGGCATGATGAAACAGACGCTGCTTTTCTGCAGTTCTCACTGTGTTCTGAGCAAAAGTTTCATGATTTTCAGGGTGTATGATTTTCAGGGTGTTGACTGGACCCAGTTTTAGTTTTTGAGCTTCTTTTTGAGCAGCTGTTTAACAGTTTTAAAGATTAATAAGTCCTGACTTTTGTTCTGTATTAGAGGTCTTCCAAATAACAAAGATAAATTTATTTATTTTAAAAATAAAATAAAATTCATCTTGTCTTGCAGTGATCATATGAGTCCATTTAACACTTACATAAATCTCAGATACATTGTTGAACCTTAGTGATTTTACTTAGTTTTTTAAATCTTAAAACATTTTGCTATTTTATCATCCTGAGAACTATTTCAAAGTTAATCATTAAGGATTCTCAGCTTTGCCATGAGGACTAAAATAATATGAAAACAGAAGAATGATGGAACAGTGAGAAAGATAATGTGATAGAGAAATCTGCATTCTTTGGTATTATCCTCCAGTTTTCTTGTTGCCAAAGTTCTATTCAAGAAGATGCATCAGAAGGAATGGAGATAGTGAGGGCTGTTTTTTCTTTAATTAAATACAGTGGAGAGTTCAGAAGTTTTCATTTTTCTTTCCATAGTGCCAAAGAGAAGACAACCAGCAGAGAAAGAGGTTTTACAATTTTACATGGGTTGGAAGATAATTTCCAGGGGAGATCAGTGCTGTCCATATGATCATGGAAATGGCTTCATATCTGCTGTCTCAGCCACACATGGCTACTGAGCTTTGAAAATGTGGAAGCTAAGAATTTAATTTTACATAATTTTAATTGATATAAATTTAAATTTAAGTAACTATATGTGGCTAATAGCTACCCTACTGAATAGCAAAAATCTTCTTGACTGTAATACTTAAAGTGAAAATAATCATATAAATGAAAGCTCAGCAGAGAAATGGAACAATAAAAACAACCAAAGAGAAATGTTTTTATCTGAAAAATACAAAACCTGAAATAAAAAAACACATTTAATAGGCCGAACAGCAAAATGAACCCTTGATGAGAAAAGCATTGATAAACTTAGAGACTGGTCAGTGCAAATTATCTGAAATGAAGCAGCAATGAGAAAACTTCACAAGGAATCGATGGCCTGTCGTACAGCATCAAGCAGTCTAAAATATATGTAATTTGAGTTCCACCCAGAGAAGAAAGAGAGAAGAATCAGAAAAAATACTTGAAGAAATAATGGCCAAAAGTTTATCAAATTTGATGAAAATGATAAATCCACATTTGCTGTTGGAGTAGAGCTGGGAGGAGTTTATAATAAGCTTCCGAGACGATGCTTACTTACGGGGCATTCTCCCTCACGAGAGGTGACACTGCAGGGAACACAGGCGGCCACAGACTCACCGTGTCCGCTCAGTCTCACTGAATACAAGTTCCATTTCCAGGAATGGGTTAGAACATCTGTCTTTAAGTAGCAACACAGTTAATGAGCAAGCAGGTCAAGGAAGAATAGATTGTGCCCACTGTGTAATAAAGAATTTTAGGAGGACAAGTTTTCAAGAAAACAGGAAGAAATAATATCCTAGATCCTATGCTACACTCAGAGAAAGAGGACCTTTGATCTGAACCAAAGTTCTACAAGGTAGAGGAACACTTGGACCCTCATGAGAAATGACAAAGCAAAGGAAGTCAAAAGCTAAGGTGGTCATGCTAAGGACTCTCCCTGGAGAATATCACAGCCAGGCAAGGGGACTGGTGCCATCTCCTCTCACAAGCAGCCTAGGACAACAAGGGGCTGGGGTTTGCACCTCAGATGGGCACCTGCCCAGGTGAGCACCTGGCTCACCTAATGCACCTGTGTCGAGCAGGTGCCTCCCACCTCTGCCTGAGGTCCGAAGGCAATGGTGCAGCTTTCACTAGGATAAAGGGTTAACCCAAGCTAACCCTTTTCCTCCTATGGCCACAGCCTCCACCAGGGTCCCAGCAGGTGCTGGCGGGAGGGGCGGGCTCTCACCCTCACTTTGTAATGGCAGCCACCACTTACCTGCAAAGTAGCCCTTTACCTTCAGGTAGCCCACGATCAGCCTGAGGACGGAAAGCTTGTCCAGCCGTGCACGCACGTCCTCAGGGAAGGGTAGCAGGTTGGTGAGTCGGCTCAGCTCTTGATTCAGTCGGTCCCGGTGCCTTTTGGAGGGGTTGGTCTTGGCTCCCTCTGGAGGCACTGGCTTAGGACTTGGGGGAGAGAGAATGATCATTGCCCCACTTTCCACTGCTATTTCACTCTTACATCACCCCAGGGGTTCCAACACCATGCCCCGCACTACACAGCCCAAATCAGTGTTCAGGGGCAGAATCCCTCATTCTACAGTCTCAGCTTCTACCCATCCACGATGCCCCACTGCTGCTGTGCCCTCACCCCTTTCCTCATCTGTCAACTGGGCCCCCACTGGGCCCTGGGCACCTAGAAGGCTCCTTCACACCCAGGCAGGAGGGTTAGACCTGGCAGCCCTCAAAGCAGCAGGGCTGGCCCACTTTTCCTCCCACTTGCATTGCATTCACATGTAATTTTTAAGTTAGAAGATCTCTATTCCACAATTAACACTGACAAAACTTAAACTCCATTTAGGAAAGTATAATTTTTTAGGAATTGAGTGTATGCACACGTGTGTGCACACACACACACACAGATACCCAACATGTATCTATGTGTGTACTTTTTTCTCTGTGTGTGTGAATACACATACATAAACATGCGTATGGACACAGACGTTATCTCTCTCCATATATACACACATACATATATACATATAAATTCTGTGTGTGTGTGTGTGTGTGTGTGTGTGTGTGTGTGAATCTATCCCTATAATCTTCTATCATCAACATGCAGGGAGGAATGATTCCTGGAGGCTACAGTCACACCCCCACTCATCTATCTTTATTCTTACAGGCTTCCCCTCTGGATTTCACGTTCAAAAGTTTCCACATTTCCCACAGATGGAACAAAGGTTTTCATGCATAGCTTTGAAAGAACATCTTCTGGAGGCTCTCCTTTGGCACTCTGTTCCCAGTGCCCCCACCCTCATCCCTCAAAGCCCAGCACTTGCCCACAGGACAGAGTCCACCAGTCATTATTTCAGAGACATTCATGAGCAATTAGTTAACCCAAGTAGCATGACTGAAACTACTTCTATTACCTCACCTCCAAAGCAAAACACAGTAGCACTCTCTGGAAGACAGGAGGAAGTTTAAAACATGATAAATAGCAAAAATATAGTTTTATAAAAGGCCAGATTGGGCATGGTGGCTCATGCCTGTAATCCCAGCACTTTGGGGGCCAAGGTGGGAGCAGGTCAGAAGGTCAAGACCAGCCTGGCCTACATGGTGAAACCCCATCTCTACTAAAAACAGAAAAATTAGCTGGGCACATAATCCCAGCTACTCAGGAGGCTGAGGCAGGAGAATCATTTGAGCCTGGGAGGCAGAACTTGCAGCGAGCCCGACCTCACCACTGCACTTAAGCCTAGGCGACAGAGCAAGACTCCATCTCAAAAAAAAAAAAAAAAAAAAAGCCAAGCGTAAAGAATACAGATGCTTACTTAACTTATTCTGTCTAGAGGCAAAAGTAATAAATGAAGCTTTCTACCTCATTTATAAAACACACTGACAGTCTCCGTCTCTCGGGGCTGCCATGTAAGAAACATCCAACCTGGGCCCGTACACAGTAGCTCAACGCATGGACAAATTTTTGTAGCAGGATATTAAAATGCTGATCTCCGACTGAGCTGGCAAAACTCCGGGGTATGAGTGTAACAAAAAAGAACCTCAAGAACCAATTTGGCAACTCTAGGCCCCACATTCAGGGGGATAGGAAAGGGCTGAGAAAGGTTTTGTGAAGAAATTTCCCTGGAAAAGATCTGTACTTTGATTCTACCTCTACCACTGCTTCCCGCTAAAAGGAGCTGGAGAGTCACAGAGGCCTGGGGTCTGACTTCCTCACAGCAGAAGGATAGGCTCCTTCTGAGAGTAGATCACAGGGACAGAGGTTGCTGGAGACAGAGCCCTGCAGAGCTGTTTTAGGTCCTGCCCAGAAGGGTGTGAGGAGACATTCAACATTCCTGTGACAAGAAAGAGGCATTTAGTCTCCTGGGGACGTGTGTGTGTGTGTGTGAGAGAGAGAGAGAGAGAGAGAGAGAGAGAGAGAGAGAGAGAGAGACAGAGACAGAGACAGAGACAGAGAGGAGTGAGAAAATGTCCCACACTCTTTAAAAGAAGGTAACAAAATCCAGACAGCTTAACAGTGCCAGTGTTCATCATCCAACCAAAAAGCACTAGACATGAAAAGAAGCAAGAAAATGTGATTCATAATGAAGGAAAATCAAGTAAATCAAACTCAGAAACGACAGAGATCATGCAATAGACGAAGAGACTTTAAAGCACCTTTTACAACTGTGCTCAAGAATTTAAACAACACGTGAACATATGAGGAGAAAAACTGAAGTTATAACCAAATGGAACTTATAGAGATGAAAAAACAGAATATCTGAAAGTAAACGTTCATGGAATGAGCCTGATAACAGACTAGACTCTACAGAAGGGAAGATTAGTCAACTTGATGGAAATTATCCAAACTGAAGCACAGGAAAAGAAAAGGCTTAAGAAAGGTGAATAGAGCCTCAGTGACCTCTGAACTATATTAAGCTGTCTAATATACATGTAATTAAAGTTGCAGAAAGGTGAGGGGCAAAAAATATTCTAGAAAGTAATGGCAGAAAAATTTCCAAATTTGATGAAAATGACAGACCTCTGAGAAACTCAACAAATCCCAAGCCAGATTAGCACATTTGTGCACATGGACACACACCAGACCAAGGAACAATCACAATCAAATTGCTAAAAACCAGCTATGGAGAGAAGAAATCTTATAAGTATTCAAAGAAAAAAGATGCATTACAGAGAGGTGAATTAAAGGTAAGAACGAATGCTAAAATCTCCCACTATTATTTTGTGGGAGTCTAAGTCTCTTTGTAGGTTGTTAAGAACTTGCTTTATGTATCTGGGTGCTCCTGTATTGGGTGCATATATATTTAGGATCGTTAGCTCTGCTTGTTGCATTGATCCTTTTACCATTATGTAATGTCCTTCTTTGTCTCTTTTGATCTTTGTTGGTTTAAAGCCCATTTTATCAGAGACTAGGATTGCAACCCCTGCTTTTTTTTTGCTCTCCATTTGCTTGGTAAATCTTCCTCCATCCCTTTATCTTGAGTCTATGTGTGTCTTTGCATGTGAGATGGGTCTCCTGAATACAGCACACCGATGGATCTTGACTTTTTATCCAATTTGCTAGTCTGTGTCTTTTGATTGGGGCATTTAGCCCTTCTACATTTAAGGTTAATATTGCTATGTGTGAATTTGTTCCTGCCATTTTGATACTAGCTGGTTGTTTTGCCTGTTGGTGGAAGTAGTTTCTTCATTGTGTTGATGGTCTTTACAATTTGGTATGTTTTTGGAGTGGCTGGTACTGGTTGTTCCTTTCTATGTTTAGGGCTTCCTTCAAGAGTTCTTGTAAGGCAGGCCTGGTGGTGATAAAATCTCAGCAATTGCTTGTCCATAAATGATTTTGTTTCTTCTTCACTTATGAAACTTAGTTTGGCTGAATATGAAATTCTGGGTTGAAAGTTCTTTTCTTTAAGGATGTTGAATATTGGCCCCCACTGTCTTCTGGCTTGTAGGGTTTCTGCTGAGAGATCCGCTATGAGTCTGATGGGCTTCCCTTTGTGGGTAACCCGACCTTTCTTTCCGTCTTCCCTTAGCATTTTTTCCTTCATTTCTTTTTCTTTTTCTTTTTTTTGAGATGGAGTTTTGCTCTTGTTACCCAGGCGGGAGTGCAATGGCGCGATCTCGGCTCACTGCAACCTCCGCCTTCTGGGTTCAGGCAATTCTCCTGCCTCAGCCTCCTGAGTAGCTGGGACTACAGGCACACGCCTCAGCGCCCAGCTAATTTTTTGTATTTTTAGTAGAGACGGGGGTTTCACCATGTTGACCAGGATGCTCTCGATCTCTTGTCCTCGTGATCCACCTGTCTCGGCCTCCCAAAGTGCTGGGATTACAGGCGTGAGCCACTGCACCTGGCCCTTTTCCTTGATTTCAACCTTGGTGAATCTGACAATTATGTGCCTTGGGGTTGCTCTTCTTGAGGAATATCTTTGTGGTGTTCTCTGTATTTCCTGGATTTGAATGTTGGCCTGCCTTGCTAGGTTGGATGAGTTCTCTTGGGTAATATACTGAAGAGTGTTTTCCAACTTGGATTCGTTGGTCACATTCAGGTACACCAATCAAACGTAGATTAGGTCTTTTCACATAATCCCACATTTCTTGGAGGCTTTGTTCATATCTTTTCACTCTTTTTTCTCTTTTCTTGCCTTCTTGTTTTATTTCATTGAGTTGGTTTTCAATCTCTGATATCCTTTCTTCTACTTGATCAATTCAGCTACTGAAATTTGTGTATGCTTCGCGAAGTTCTTGTGCTGTGTTTTTCAGCTCTATCAAGTCGTTTATGTTCTTCTCTAAGCTGGTTATTCTAGTTAGCATTTTGTCTAATCTTTTTTCAAGGTTCTTAGTTTCTTTGCATTGGGTTAGCGCATGTTCCTTTAGCTCAGAAAGGTTTGCTATTACTCACCTTCTGAAGCCTGTTCCTGTCAATTCGTTAAACTCATTCTCCATCCAATTTTACCTTTAGTCTTCGAAGTTGGTGACTTTTGGATGGGGTCCCTGAGTGGATGACCTTGTTTATGTTGAAGCTATTTCTTTCTGTTTTTTAGTTTTCCTTATAACAGTCAGTCGTCTCTGCTGCAGGACTGCTGGAGGTCCATTCAAGACCTTGCTTGCCTGGGAATCACCTGCGAGGGCCACTGTCAATATTAGACAGATCAATGAGACAGAAAATTAACAAGGATATCCAGGACTTGAACTCAGTTCTGGACCAAGCGGACCTAATAGACATCTACAGAACTCTCCACCCCAAATCCACAGACTATACATTCTTCTCAGCACCACATCACACTTGCTTTAAAATTGACCACATAATTGGAAGTAAATCACTCCTCAGCAAATGCAAAAGAATGGAAATCGTAACAACCAGTCCCTCAGACCACAGTGCAGTCAAATTAGAACTCAGGATTAAGAACTCACTTAAAACCACACAACTACATGGAAACTGAACAACCTGCTCCTGA